TCCTTGTTCAAATAAACTTGTTTTCAAACTCATAAATTATTTGGAAAGAATTAAAATGGTTTAGTGGATTGTTGCATTTATTTCGGAGCGCCGGTTTTATTCTTGATAGGGCTTTATATTTCAAAGATCTGAGTGGTACTGGCGTAAACCTAGTAAAACTTACTATGCAATCAAAGTTGAACTAATTAGATGAGTTTACTTAGAAGAAAAAAAAAGGGAAAAAATTAAAAATTCAAAGCTCTCCATCGATTAACCTAGTTTTTATTTTTAATTTCTAGATTAGTTTTGTATTCGGCGGTGTCAAATCGGCCAACAATAAAGCCTATTTCACCAAAAAAGCAAAGGAAATGACAAATATTCTCAGCGCTTCGGAGTCTCAGGTCATATTTTTATACATCTATGCCATCGTTTTATAATTATCTTCGTCGTGCTATAGATCCCTTTGATAAAGCCTGTCTACTCTTGAAGCCTTTATGAATTTATAAGTGCTAAATTTCAGATAGAAACAAAAGATGTAATTTCCAAGTTCTCGCATTTAGAATTTGAGAACCTCGGAAAATATGCTTTACCATATTTTTAATAATTCATATTTTGATAAACTTTTATAAATTTTATACAGTCGTACAATCATATGATTTATCATTATTACGGTAATTTGCTACCAAATTATTTCCAAAGCCATTCGTGCTTCGTTTGATTCAATTGAATATTCAAGAAGTTAAGAACTTCTCAAGAAATACTTTTTTTTCTCATATTTTTATCTTTATATATGAAATATAAAAAAATATTATTATATTATATATAATATTTATGTAATATTTATAAATATTATTATATATTTTATTGTACATTTTGTAATATTATATTTAAATATAAATTAAAATAATATAATATAAAATTATAAAAAATATGTTATATAATATTTTATTATATAACATAATACTATATATTTTATAATATAATATTTAAATATAAAATATAAAAAATATTATATTATATTATATTATAAATTGTTTTATCATATATATATATATGCATAATATTATGCTTAAATATAAAAAATATCATAAAATTATTTATAAGGCGCTGAATTTTCAAGAAATTTATAATAATAATCACATTAAAGCCGATTAAAAATTTATGTTTATTTCAATTCGTCAAGCTAAAACCAAAATTCATTCACTTGCAAAATTACAAAAAAGATTTTGAGGAAAACTAATTTTTCCTATTAATTAGATTTATATGAACTATTTTTCTGCATTATCTATTGCGTTCGCTTTAAGATATGGAATTCAGTTTCGGCCGATGAAGCCAGTCGCCTTCTATCCATTACAATCATCTCCACGCACAAAAATTACCAACGGCGAGGTCTAATCCGAAATTTGTTGGCGTTCGATATTCGAAATCAAATTAATTCAGGTATCGACGGTGCAGTCTCTGAAGCGACTGCTTATAACTCTCAAAAGGCATAGTTTTTCAATGTAATTTCGGTGAAATAGGTGAAAAATTGCCAAAAAAAAATTATCATGATCATCGTTAATTAAGTTTGTACCATGGTTCCTTTTTTTTGAAAAACTCTCACCATTTCCGTTTAAGGCACCACTCGTTTCGGTAACTTGTCGCACCAGATAAATTTTGCCACTTAGTCATATATCGACAGAAGTATAAGTGAGCTGCCAGCATCACATGGGTCTATTTAAAAATTTTGAACGATAGAAAATTATTCCCGGCGGAAATAGAATGTCAGTGTAGGCACTTTGCAATGAGCATGATAACGCACCGAATCATTCACCTCCACGAATTAATGCACCTGAGGGGCAAATATAATCCTCAATGAATTTCAGTTGCTAAAATCTTTGGGATATTCAATGATTGACGAAATAAAGCTCGAAAACTGGAAAAATGAAAATGGTGATATTGTGTTTAAATGTAAAGATAACGCAACGAAATGTGTACAACTATTTTATAAGAATTATAAAAATGTTATATAAATTATTATTATAAATTATAATCATAAATTTTAAAGTTTCGTCGATTTATATTTTACAATTACACAAAAAATGCTCATCGCATTTAAACAACGAAGGCTCATTAGCAAGGCATTGCAAAAAAACTATAAAGGCTAAGGGCCAAAACTTGCTCTTTCATTGTTTTAAGAAGGCATCCGAGACCGATAAGCGAAGTCCGCGTTATAAAGAAGTTCATGCAGCAATAATATACACGAGTGTTCTTTTTTCATATACAAGAAGAATGCGCCAACGAATGGTAATTGCAATAAGCTGCTTGAGTGAATTTTCCAAAGGGCCTTCAAAAAATTACAAATGTAGACAAATCTAAAGAGAGTTCTAAAAATCTAAACAATCTAGACAAATCTAAAAAGACGAGGGAATTTTTTTGAATACGCCAGGTTTAATGGCTCATAAATAAATCAAATCAAAGGTCGCCATATTTCCAAATGTGTCAAATACGCCATTTTTCGTAGAATATCTTTCAAGTATCGGCAAAATTGGGAAGAAAAACCGAAACATAGCTGGTTTATTCCATAAATGAGTAAGAAAAAAGATGGAACGGTGATGTAACTGGCAGCAATTCAGTTTATGAATTCCGACTCTATCGACAGTTATATGCGATTTTCAAGCATTTTTCTCTGATTTCCCTTCTTTCTCGCTAAAATAAAGTATCAACATTTGGTGCAATAGAAAATTGCGATTCAACACTTGCAATATATTTTTCGAACCCATCATTCACCTTTATTGCGAATTTGAACGATATTAGAAGGCGACGCAATTCGTCAACCTTAGTTGTAGAATTGTAGAATTCATGAAAAATATTGGAGTCGCGTGGGTGTCGGAAAATTCTCGCTAAATCGGTATCAATTTATCAAATAGTATTTTTTTTTTAAATAAAAATAGATGCTGTAACGCAACTTTCGTTCGAATCTTCATGGCCACCATTGGCATAAACTGCAACCGCTAAACTCCAAATTATCCAGAAAGAAGCGAAACAATTTGGCGCTCCCTACCGAGATAAAAGATAAAAATTTAGAAAAATTTTACGGATTCTTTATTTTGAGCCTCGAACAAAAGCTAAAGCTTGGCTATTTCCTCGCTTCTCTTCTATATCACAATTATAATCAAAGCAAATTGTGATTATGGCTGCTTCTCTTAGTTAACATATTAGCTTATAGATTTGTTCAGCATTTAAAACCACTATAGAAAAATAAGTAATTCAAACGATAAAAATATAAAAAATATTTTATGAAATATTTTATTGAAGAGATATATATTTTTATTGAAAAATAATTAAAAATTTTTCGAAAATCTTTAAAAACAATTCGATTATAAAGTGAAAAATACCAATGGATTTCATTTAATGAGATTGTAAAAATTATCTTAGTGTTTGAGATAAGAATAGCGAATTCATGGAAATGATTTGCATGAAAAAAATAACTGACCTACGTGCAGTATATTTGCCAAATTTGGTACAAATTTTAATAAATCCATATAAATAACATTCTTAACAGTTATATGCGAAATTTAGGCCAAGAGGAAAAGGTCGTTTCTCGAATTTTTCCTTTATGCAATAAATGCTATGTAAAATAAGCTTGTGAAAAGTTTGAGAACATCGAAAAATGCTCAAATCGAAAAAAAATCCATAATAAAATCGAACAAACTGATTATTCAAAATTATTATTATATTATTACTATTGTCACTATCATTATTATTATCATCATCGTCATTACTGTTATTTATTCCATCTGATAAACTCCTAACACTCCCACCAAATTGCTATCCACAATTGGCTAAAATGCAAATAGATCGAATTTTTTACCGGATAACTCGCAATAACTGTGAATTCCTTTATGAAATTAATCAGAACTCAAACGATATAGCAGAACGCAAAAAAGCAACCTGCTTGCTATTAGCAGTGGTACCCTCATTTATTCCAGTTTAGTAAAATCATTTCAACGTGGTTTCACGACATTTTCAGTCCTTTTCATTTTATTTACCCTATTTACGATCTTATCCTTAATCATATCACTTTATAATTAAAAATGATTATAAAGCTCATAAAATCTTTCAAATTACCATCATCATCACCAAGTCCCAATTCGCAAAATCATATTGCACCAAACTCTTCCCGATTTAAGAATAAAGAAGAATGAATAATGGATGAATTAAAAAATGGATGGAGCTTCATTGAGCAATGTCACCACTTTACTCAAATTTTAAGTAAATGCAAATGATAATTACTGGCAAGGCTGATAAAATGGCTTAAAATATAATAATTCCAACAAAATAATAAACTATTAACCAAATCACATTCGAAAACTAGACGCTATCTCTCAGTAAAAGGTTTTTTTTTAAGATGGAGCAAGCGAACAAAGAAAATTTGGCTTCAGAGTGATTAAATTTTTGAATCCCCATTTATGATTGTTGTCATTTGCCACATTAATTAATCGAAATGAATTAAAAATTAAATTAATAAAATTAAAATTTTGGATTTTTTTAGCAATTTCCCGCTCAATAACTGTTAAAATGCCTATTTCAGCGAAAACAGCAATTATATAAAAAAAGAGAAAATAAATATACATAAAAAAAAGAATGAAAAGATAAATCTATGAAAAGATAAATCATGCAGCAAATGTTTACGGTACAAAATAAAATATATAATGGCAATATATAATTTTTGCGTTACTGGTAATAAATAAAGCATCTAAACTACAAATTAAGTAGGTAAACTATATTAATCATTTTCTAAACATTAAATGTTTAGATCATCAAAATGCAGAAAAATGAATGCTGCTAAATACAAAAATTACAACCTCTCATTCATAAAAAATAATATATAAAAGAAAAAACTTGAAAAATAAAAAAATAAAATCTATGGAAATATTTATAGCATCTAAGAAAAGAAGTTAAGCTCATAAAATATGAATTAAAAATTAAATACATACAGAAAAGGATAAATGCTATTCATGTAAATTCGATTCGTATATTTAATGATGTAAAACTGAATCGTTACGCTTAAGTCGAAGTGGGAAAAAGGTTGATGAAGAAAGTATTTGTCTAAGGCCACGTGATGTATGAATGGAAAGATTATGTTTATTTTGTGTGGAATTTTCATTTATAGACGAGAGATTCGAACGGGAATGAAGCCGGGATAGAGTATTTGAAAGTCCAATCTGCATACTTGACATTGCTCGTCTAAAAGTGCCTTGAGGTCGAACGAAATTTACCGATACAGATGGCTTTCGATGGCTTCTAGAACATGGATTCAATGATTAAAATACTAAATACAAAGATAAAAATTAAGAGAAACAATTTTAAAAAGGAAAGAAAGAAAGAAAGAGAAATAATTTAGTAGGGTAGATTAAAAATGAAATTAAATTAAAAATATATTCTTTAAAAAATCACGCGAATTGCAAAGCTTTGCCGATCATCGCCACTTTATCACTATCACCCAATGCCATAGCATCGTGGTCGAAGCGAGTTTCTTCAACAATTGTATTTCGTCCACATAAATAAAAAATCTGCAAATTTAATGCAAGTAAGCATATTAAAAAAAACCAACACCTTATAACCTATCCGGAGAAAAAACTAATAAAAATCAAACTTGTTTCGCTAGATCTTGTAAAAATTTTCTAGTTTCACCACTTCGACTTTCCAAGGATTGTGCCACCCAAAAATTCTCACATTGGCTCACCCGAAATGAAATAACAAACAATCCAGGAATTTCTAAAAATTGAATAAATTAAGGAAAATTTAGAAATTTAAAAAAATTAATAATTTTGAAATGAAAAGGAATTATTCAGGAATTAGTCAAAATAATGCTAAAAACCAACCATCATATAAAATTGTATCAATTTGCCTTATCGAAGTAAGCACATACTGTTGATAATGTTTGAACCTTTTTTTTGACTGACGTAAGGTCGAGAATGAAAACTGTCGAGAAAGATATCCTGCAGAAGAAATGGCTAACGGATATTCATTTTCATTTCCATTTCTACGAACCTCAAAATAAAAAAAACTCAGAATAAACAGAAAAGAGAAGACAGATGATAAATTATTTTTTAAAAAACTACCTAACAATTACCTAACAATTACTACATCAAATTCTGGTATAAATATTTTGGATTTTAAAGTTAACTTTCCTTAACAAATATTACTTTCTATATGATTGATTGATTCCTTCTTATGCTCCATTTATTACCAGTTTCAGCAATTGTCTTAGGTGGAAAATGATAGTGGCTTTATTTTCTCCGAATTTTCTTATTACCCAGCATAATTTCAATTAATTTCAAACATGGAAATGGATTAGAAGGATTGCAAAAGCATCCTTTAATAGCCAATTCAGTCAACCAAAAATATAAAATAATACATGATATAAGAAACAGAAGAACCAGTACAATTTATCACAACTACAATTACAATATAAATTATTAGCATTGCAAAGAAAACGAAAAAATAAATTACCTTAGCAATTTCAATTACATCATTAAAAAGAAATATAATCATTTTTTTGCCTCTTGTTTTCGACCATTCGTCTTCTCCACCAAGCGAAATTACAGTTAATTCGCCTGTTAATGCTCGTGCACTCGAAAGAATTTCAGCCTGAAGAATAAAAACAGAACAATTTTCGAAAAATAAATAGAAAACAAGATAACAATTGCCAATTTGGCGAAAAAAAATATCTCTTACATTTACATCCTACATTTTCCAATTAAGAATTATACATTTGGTGCAAAAAAAAAAATATTTATTCATTTTTTGTATTCATATATTTTGAAAATTTTAAAAAATATGCTATTATCAAGAATGCGCTTTTTTTTTGTTTAACGTTTATTTAATAACTATTTTTACAGGAAATCCGTCAATAACACTGGATAATCCTAAGATTTCTGTATAGAAATCGTTTTGTCGTCGTGATTCATTGGCTGATCTGAAATGAAATAGACTTGCATTTGCATTTGCAAAAAAATAGATGAGAATTTGGTTTTAGATAATATAAAGAAACAAGGAAATGCTGGATTAAAACGGTAGTGATTTAGATGCTCATGATTCAAAATGCATGAAAAATGAAAAGAGCCTCAAAAATAAAATGCTGAACAATACGCTAAAAACGTACGCCAAAATTTGCTCTATCGCTTTCATCGCTTTAACCAAATAATGATGATCAGGGTTGTTACGATCAGTCCTTTTGAGAAGAGCTAAAATTTAAGAAAGTTAAAATAATGATTAACTATAATCATTATTAATCATAAAATATAATTTCAATAAATTTAAAATGATCCAAACAGAAAAAATTAAATTACCTTTCATTAAAAGTAAAACAGATGGCAATCTTTGAATAGGCCTCACAAGTAAATCAGCGATATGATTCCTTTGACATTCCGGGCGGCTTTCAGCTGCCTAAGAAGTCGAAAAATCAGCTAAGCAAAAAAAACTTCGAATCAAAGAATGAAAAAAAAACCTTTAAAAATGCATGAAATTTCGGCCTTTTATCGCATAAATCTAAAGTATTTACAGCCACATCATAATTGGTAACAAATGCCTTATAAACCGGCTCTAAATGAGCTGCATAATCCAACCAAACCTAGAAAATATGAAAAAATAATTAAAAATCATAAAAAATGAAAGTAATTTAATTCTTATCCAACCATGATATTTCCATTTTGATTCTTGCAATACTTGAGATGTTTTAGATGATCTTTTTGGTAAAGAACCAATTGGAGATAGAAATTTATAGCAGTTATTCAAATTGCAATTTTAATAAAAATATTACCATCAAGAGATGGAAAAAAATTGCACTTATTTCAAAATAAAGTTGAATATAAAATAAAGAACTGTTTAGAAAAGAAACTTTTCCAATTAATCGATCATTCGCCCAATGCATAACATAAGTTCGCAAATCATTATGAATTTTTTCATGCACTTCGATAAGGGCTGGGATTTTTGAAAAAATTTGAGATATTTCAGTTTTCGATAAAAGAGCCAATTCAGGATTACTTAGTTGCATTTCAAGCGGTTCTTTAAAAAGCTGAAATTGTGAAATTAAACATCTTCAAGTTGGTAATTGTATTTAAATTAATGATTTTCTTATCTATATTTATTCTAATTAGCATAATTCAAAAAATTGCATTTGATTACATCAAGATCTATAGATTAAATAAAAATGAACCACATTTATATGAAGACCTGTATAACAATTTTCAAAGCCTTCAAATAATTTTCTTCCGTCTCAAGCATTTCCTTACATACAGCGTGACGTTTATCAAATTTTCGCGATGAAATTGATGAGCCATTCAAATCCTCAGAAGACAAAAATTGTTCCGAATAATCTTAAATTCAAATGATAATATTCTTTCTAAATCATGGCGATAAATGGTATATTTTTATGCCTTCTATTTTCATTTTCTTGATATTTATCCAAAATATCATAAATACACTAATAAAGTATAAAAATTACCCGGCAAAGCTGAGGAATTACTGTTTTCAGGGTTATCCATTGAAGATCTGCAAAAAAAGAAAGCTAAAGAATTTTTAAAAAGAATTAAAAGAATTTTTAAAAAGATTTCAAATTCATCTTTGACCACGAAATCAAGAAAAATTATAAGCAAGAATTTTTACTTCGAATTAGAACGCGTAGGCTCTCGAATGCTCTTGTTTTGTTCAATTTTATGTGGCGATAAGAGCGATTTTTTCTTGCTGAAATAATGAGCACCCCTCCACTGGTAAATCTCCTCATTTGCACAACAACCAAGTTGAATAGATAACCAAAACCACTAAAAATTTATGATGGAAAATTTCGAAACAATCATGAAAAATCATTTAAATTTAAATATACAAAATTATATGAGAAATCTAATAGATTTTGAACAATCATTGCGTGTACAACTTTATTATTTTTACATTCAAATGAATTGAAATATATAATAATGACCATAAAGAGTTCAAAATGAAGCGTGCAATATAGATAAATGAAAAAAATACCTCTGCTGATACAATATTTTGTTTATCCATGCCTTCTATGTTAGCATCTGGTGAATTAGATATAACAATATGAGTTGCTTCTTGAAGGCTTTGAGCCAATTTGCCGTCTAAAAAAAGGAAATAGTTCCAATGATATCCCATCACCATATGACTAATGCTTTGAATACAATAATTCAATCTTTACATGTCCTTGCATTCAAATTTTGAAATTTGGAATTTAAAAAATTAACGGTAAAATTAATAAAATACTTTTGAAAACATACTATTTTCTAAAGTCTTCATTTGCATATCTTTTAATTCATCATCAGGAAATGCAATAAAATATAAAGTCAATCCACAGAATGGTTCGATTAAAAATTTATTTACCTGAAAAAGAAATAAATTAATAATAATATATTAATATATTACAAAATTATTGTATATTATTGTATAAGAAAAAGCACAGTTCCTCTCAATAGAGCTGTGAAAGAAAAGCACATATTTAAAAATATTTTAGAGAGAAAACGAACGAATTCTTTGTTAGTTACTCTAACGGTTATATCATCTCTAACCGCCCATGCGGCATACATCCACTGCGTGTGCACCACAATACACCCCATTGATATCGCCATCTGCAATATTTTTATTATAATTTTTCGAAGATTATAAATTCATTTCAATTCGAATACGAAACTATGGATTCGAAAAGAACTCGTTTTCAGTTTTTAGATTTAAATCGAAGAAATAACCCTATATGCTTTTCCAATTGCTGCTTCTGTAATAAGATGTGTTGTAGAAGCGGAGAACTTTTTTCGCGCACTACCACCCATATAATGAACGAGATCAACAATATCTCGACATTGTCGAGTTGATAAACCAGATAAGGAGATTCGAACACCTACCATACTGTCTGAATATAGCGGCCGATTGGGACGTGGAATATATAATGGCTTAAAAATATTTTTTTATAGGAAATTTAAATGAAAATTAATGGAACATTACTCAAGAAACTAAAAGCATAACTTCTTAAAATATAAATAAAAAGGAGAAAAAGGGCAATAAAATAAGAGATTATAAAATAATAAGGGCAATAAAATTATAAAATAATAAACTTTAGATTGGAGAGCTCGAGATCTCACAATTGCTGGACCAATAATGAATTTCCCACAAGATTGAAGATATTTAAAATTTGTCGAGTTAATAAAATCATCACATAGGTAAACGACGTTAGGATCGTTTAAGCATTTGATGTCACCTATATTTTTCATCACATCGATTCCAAAGTGGTCCTATAATCCATTAATTATATCATTTGTTATTATGTAATCATTAAACTTATAATTATTATTACTGCTACTATCACTGGTATTATTACTGTACTATAATTATTTATTGCTGCAATTTATTATTATTATTATTATTATTATTACCATTCCATGGAATATTTAAATATTTTTTTTGATTACAGTACGTATTATTATTCATAAATAAATCATAAATCGAATCAATTTGTTAGATTAATTTGTTAAATTCATTGTTAATAACCATAGTCAGGTGATCAAAAAAGTTCGATCGACCACAAAATTAAATAAAACAAAGAAAAACATGAATATTAGGCTTTTCACAACCTTATTCTAAACCTTATTCCGGAATTTTCGAAGCCCAGATACAAAGAATGGAAATAAAATATATCTAGAAACTGTTTTTGAAATTATCGCTGCACCTGTTTCCAGCGTGTAAAGCCGGTAGTTAAATGGCGCAATGCCTGTTTGAACAAAAGAAAACAAAGTGAAATTTCAGGCAACTTGAGCTTTTTTTACAGCTCTAACCAGAGCCCTAGAATTCTTACTAGTTAGACTCGCTCCAACTGGCATTAGACAAATATGCCAGGGAATCATTTGGCGAGAGAAGTATAGATGATTCGCCAGCATTACTCGAATTTTTGGACAAGTTTACTCCTGCGAGGAACTCCAGCATCAACGCTCCGAATTGCGCAACAACTCACTGAACCGTTTTATGCCCCAACTTGTAATATGTGTAAATGAACCTTATGTTGAAATCTTAGCATAAATTATCACTGGTGAAGCGCACCTGCAACCTACTATAACTACCTTTAGCGGATACCCAGTGATTTTGCAACCATTAGCGAGAAGTTTATAAGGACGATACTAAAATCCACTCTTTGAGCTTTAGTTTAGGATTTCAGTGGATGAAAAATAATGGTGTAAAGCCAATATAGACGAATAACACAGATGATCCATTTTTAATCACAGGCCAACAACCTAACAAAACATCACTCATTCTTTTGGTGTGAAAAAACGAAAAATAGATAATATGCTGCTGAAATTATCTATTATTTATTGTCCCTAGTTAGTTTATATTAAATTCACTCGCTGAACTCCGCTATATTTAGATGCGAACGAATGGTTTTTTTTTAAAAGGTATGTCACAATTGAAAGTAAATTTAACTGGACGCTGATTCATTGTAATTGATAAACTGCCTTCTACTATTGTATATCTCACCTCCTAAACCTTTCCATAGTTTCCATTATGTCCATAATTTTTCTGTACTTTGGTATGAATAAGATGATTCAGTGTCATTTTATTAGCTCCATTCAACTGTATTCAGTAATTTTTCAATAAATCTATGTCTAAATCTATGTGTATAAATCTATATGTATTTTTTTGCAATAAAACAGAAATGCTGAAAAATTGAACAAGTATTTTTTGTTATATGAAATATTCAACGGTTCATTTCTATTTTTATTGAAAATAATAAAGGTAAAACCTGAAGCAAATTGAGAATTTCACGATTATTTCCAGCAGTATCGACAACACAAATATGTTTGATTCGTCGAGTTGATAAATGCGTATTCACTAAATTTTCTCCTAATTGCAAATCTAAAAAAAAAAAAAAAATCCAGTTAAGAATTACAAAAAACTAAAATATTAAAAAGGTTTAAAAGAATGAAAAATATGAACGCTATTTTTAAAATAATATTAAAATTTTAGAAATTAAAAAATAATTAACCATCAACGATACTATTATCAGCAGTTTCATTGAAAATAAAACTCGATTCTTCCATTAGGTCACAATTTTTGAAATAAACTAAAATTATTGATCAATATAGAGAGGTATTTTTAACATGAACAGAATTACTAAAAACAGAAAAAAAACAAATAAATAAATTTATATTCCATTTTCGTTATTTATTCATTCGTTTATCTGATATGAGAAAAAAAGTACTCAAAAAACTTTAAATATAATTGGATAACAATAAATTTCATAATATTTCACTAAATTTTTTTTAATTTGGCAAGAATCATAAATGTTAAGAACATATTTCATAATACTGAAAAAAACTTTAGATACTATCTTTTAAATAACAGTTTCACTTCACAACTTTTTCTTAGGAACTATAGAGGAACTATGGAAGAACTAGTGAGGACTATAGGAACAACAGAGGAACTATAGAGGATTTATATATGAAAAAAGATTTTGGAAAATTATGAAGTTGAAGCCTGATTCTCCTTAGCTATACGTCCTAATTGAAGTTTATTTATAATAAAGAAGGCCAAATCACATAAAAGGTTTTATATCATTTGTATACCAGTAGTCGAACAGAATTCGAACAGAATTCGAACAGAATTCGAATATTATTGAAGAAAAGTAACCAACTAACAATCACCATTTTGAGAGAATACTTTTTCTTTGTCCATCATTTTCAATTATTCCACCACCTTATTGAACCAAGCAAATTATACCAGAGAATCACTCAGTAACTGAAGTATAGGTGAGTCACCAGTATCAACCAGATTTTTAAAAACAAGTTTACTCTTGCTGAGAGTAAACTAAAGCATCAGAAATCAGATTAATAAATGCACTGATCCTTCCTACACCCAAAATAACCCATATAAATTAATATGTATTCAGATAACCATTTTGGGATAAAAACATTTTTTATATTATCAAGCAACATTTTTATCAACAACTAATGTCCTTTTATTGTCCTTGCTATTACCTTTAATAGCTTGGCTTTTATTAAATTTTTTTTTTAAGAGTCCTCATCATTACTGATTAAACTCGCTCCACTGGCTTGGGCAATATGCCAAAGTCCCTTGAGGATAGAGATACAGGTAAGTCGCCAGCATCACCCGGACTATTATTAAACTATTATTTATAGACTATTTGTCACATTTCTAATTGCTATTATTCGGGCCTTTTGCCTGGCCATTCGATGTTAGAGTGGATCCAGCTAAAAATGTAGTTCTTCCAGTTGAGCTTTATGAATTAACGAGATCACCATAAAAACTAAAGTCCATATCTATAAAGGCGCGATTCGTTCGATCTCGCTATACATGGCTGCACGTGGTTAATGAGAATGGCGGATATAGGAAATTATCAACCTTTGACCACTCATATCCAAGGTACATTGTGTGGGTTCGCCGAGTGGAAAAAATCTCACATGATCGCATCCACCTTCAAATATCACTTGTATAAATAATGTTGTCACAGACTGTCACCTTCGCTGGTTAGATCAAGTTTTCTTCGTAAATTGATCGATACCTGCTAAACTCTGTGATGGATGGCGTCAAAAGCGAGATGAGCTAATCTGTTAACAAACCGTCATTACTATCCTATGCCATAATTTTTTCCTTTAACAATACGCACCATTACGGTTTAGGCTGGCTGGCCAAGGCTGACTAAAAAACATGCAATAATTAATGTCTCGAAAATCAAATCAATGAAAACAAAACAATGACCATTATCTATTGATTAGTTAAGCATTTTTGACGAATGACGAATAGTGGTGGCTAATTAGAAGCTATTTATAGAAATTTTCGCCAACTTAGCTAAAAGTACAATTCGCTCGCCAGTAATTCTCGGATTTTTTTTTTTTTTTTGTGGATGACCGTTTCGCAAGGACATTGCGAGATCGAAGCGTCGCCTTTCAACACGAAAAGCAAGCAATCGATTGATTTTTTCTTATTATTGAAAAATTGAAAAATTCTTATTGAATGAAAAGAATATTAATAAAATATTAATAAAAATATAATTTAAAATTTCAAAATTGAAATATAATTTAGCATTTTTAAAATTGAAAAAAAAGAAAAATGATAATTAGAAACTAATTTTAGTAGGAAATTTTCAAAATTTTTGAATAAAAAAACTTATTAATTCCATGAAAAAAATCAATAAAAAAATTTTTTTTTGAATTAAACACAAAAAAATCGACCGGTAAACACTGAAAAATAAAATTTTAAATTCAATTGGATTTTCCCGCGTCTCGAATCGTTTTAAGAACCAACTTTTCAAATTATTTATTGATTGTAGCTCTATATTGGTTCGATTTGCATTTTATTTACTCCTTTCAGATAAATATAGTGGTACCAGTTTATTTAACAAATTTCACACTATAAATTTTCCACCTTATCCACTGAAATTCAAAATCTGCTCTTCAAAGCACTTCCACGCTGAAATTTAGTAATTTAACAAATGCTAAAAGGCGGATTTCAAAATTTTCTTGTGAATTTGAAATGTATTATTTATTTATTTTTTCTTTCAATGAGTTCTATTAAATTTCAATAAACCTTTGGTTTTCTAAATTAAAATTGTTTTTCTAATTTATTTTTATAAAATAAAAATAAATTACAAAAATAATAATCGAATTATTTAACTGAAAAATAAAATTTTTAAATTTTTAAACGATATTAATAAAAATTTTAAATTAAAAATTAATTAAAATAGTTTTCCAGGAAAAAAATCAATAATTAAATCAATTTAAATGAAAATTTAAATAATAAATTCATAAATTTATAAATCAATGAATATTGCTGTTGAGCCAAGTTTAAATGTTAGCGAACTTGAGAAAATCGGCAAATTAAGCAGGTAAATTTTATTTGAATTAGATAAATATTTATACTCGTTCATTGGCTCCAGAAAATATCAAAAAATCAATATTTGGAAGCAGTTTTACGTGATAGCGATGTTTTTATTACGTTTTCCTATAAGTAGAAAAGTTTTATTCGTGATTGACTAGATAATGAACATTTTGCTGTCAGCTATGGCGAACTGCAAATAATGATAAATATTATGTTATCAGTTGTGATAAGAAAAAAAAAGTTAATGTAAATAAAACGAAAGCCTTTTCGTCTTATGTGCAAGAAGCCGATTCCTCTTTTTATAAATTCATTGTTGGTCAAGGCAGAAAAATATACCTCAAGCAATGGAAAATTTACCCAACCCAAAAGCCAAACACATCGTAAAATCGTGTGAAATTATTTTTCTGGTCCAGTGATATTTTCTGTTTATTATATAAATGAGTTAATGCAATGGTAGATATACTAGTAGTTATATTACTTTTTCCATGGTCAAGTGGTACATGTTGCTGTGGCCATGGTCACATGTAACTTGTAACTTTGACCTCTACTTCTAATTCCTGACGGGTAAATTTATTATTATTAAAATCCAAATGTTCAAATGTTGGGAAATGTCTCCGTCTTCTCCGTCTAAGTGGTTCTTACACGAAGAAGCTTGTCTCATCACAATTGATTTATAACTATCTTTTTAGTCTCGATTTTGCGCATTATTGGATTAAGGTCGATGAAAATGGAAATAATGCCGAGAAAATATTTTTATTTAAGGTAGATTTTATTTTTTTCACCGATAATTTTTTCTTTTAAAAAAACTTTTAAAAAAGAAAAGGATTCGAAGCATCGATTTTAAATGGTGTCTGATTGGCGTATTTTATTTTTTAGGCAATTCGAGTTCTTGAAAATTTGCTTGTGCATTTGATGGAGAACAGCGCAGGAGATTCAAAAGATAATGATCTTTTCGCTAATTACATGAAACTTGGTCATGTCAATTTACTGGCAAAAGATTTTGCAAAAGGTTTTTTTTAGAACGGTCTTTTGTTCAAAATTTAAAAATTTACTAAAAGTTTTGCGATTGTTAGGTATTGTTTAAAAATATATAAACACATTTTTTTAGCACTCTCTGCTTATCAGAAAGCATATAATCTCAATAATGATCGTTTCTGGAAAGATCCTTCATCTTTCTTTGGTCTTGGAATGGTCTATTTTCACTTTAGAGCCAATCTAATGTAAGTTTTTTTTCCCTTCAGTTTAGTAGTTATTTTTAAGGATTACGATAATCACAATTTTGTTGTCAAGAATTCACATTCAGTTCACAAAATATTGATTTCTATCATAAATTTTTTGTTGTTGTAGAATTAATTGATTAAGGAAAGCACATCCAAGATTTAGCATCACATTATTTGGTTTCTTTACTTTGTTCTTTTTTATTTCCCATATATTTTTAATAATAGAAAATTTTAGTGCCACCGAAGCATTTAACCAACTTTTGTTTACTTTTCCAAATTTATCGATCTCAGTCGAAGTACATGCACGACTAGGATTTCTTTACAAAAATCTCGAACGTTTTGAACTCGCTTTAAAGGTATTTTTTGTTTTGTTTTTTGAATTTAAATGTAATTTAAATGCATATAAATTATTATGCGTTTGATTTTCGTTGCTTTTTGAACATGAATTTTTTGATTATTTTTTGAATAACTTCTAATTTTTATATAATTAATTTTTTAATAATTTTTGATTTCTCAGGTTATATTATTTTCAAATGTTTATTTAGCATTTTAATGCTGCCGTAAATGATGTCACAGAAAGCTCATTCTTATCAAAAATTGAACTTCGCTTTCATATTGCGCATTGCTATGATTGTGCTGGTGATCTTGATCGTGCTTTCAACGAATATCATTCTTTAACAGCAGTTCAATCAAATCAATTATCCAGTAGTCTACGCGCTCAAATTTTACGTCAGCTTGGTAATGCCTTTTAATCTGTCTTTTAAAATCGTTTGATTCTAAATTTAAATAAATTTCTCTCCTTCCTTGTGAGTGGTACCAACTTTAATATCGGGTCTTCTACCAGTAGCCTGAAAGATTAAAGGATCCTTTCCTGAAAGTTGAAGGAGATTGGCACCGGTTCAAATAGTTGCTGTTGCATTCCATATCGCCCGCCTTATCCACTACTTAGTTGATTTACTTTCCATTATACTTTCCATTTATATATTTATATTTACATATAATTTTTTAAATTTGAAGAAATAATATTGGCAGAAAAGTTATTTGAAAATATTTTCCACTGTGTTAAATTTTAATTTTTATATGTGTAAGAATTTAATGTTACAGTTAAAAGAAAACAAAATAAATTGAAGAAAATTTTTTTAATATTTAAGGCTGGATTTGCTATCGTCAAGAATGTCCAGCTGAAAATCGTCAGCAGAAGATATTTGAAGCTGAACAATATCTTATACAAAGTCGAGATTTGGAACCTTCATGTGGCAAAACTTACTATTATTTAGGTCGTTGCTATGGCGAACTTCCAGAAAGGGCTCACGATGCTTTCGCTAACTATAGGTTTCATTATTTAATATTCTTGCAAGTATTATATTGTATTATTATTTACTTCCGAGTATTTATCTGGCGAAGCATATTTTATTATACTTTAGACATTCAATTGACAAATCAGAAGCTGATGCTGACACATGGTGCAGTATCGGTGTGCTTTATCAACAACAGACTCAGCCTATGGATGCACTGCAGGTAAGATAATGAAATTTCACGTGAATTTTCAGACTGGCTCCTTTTTTTATTATATTATCTGTTGATTTATTTTTAGGCTTTCATATGTGCTGTTCAATTGGACAATGAACATAGTGCTGCCTGGAGTGATCTTGGTCGGCTTTATGAAGTGAACTGTCAGTTTTCTGACGCTCTTCGTTGCTTTAAAAAAGCTCTCAAGTATCGACCAGGTTAGATTTTAATTGTTTTTTCCTATGATCCATATCATTTTTTGATTTTTACATTTTTAATCTTAGGTTAAATTTTCTTATCATCGTTTGTTTTATGATAAAAGTAATTCTTTGATTTTATTGGTTCATTTACTTAATTTGGTGAAGCAAATATTTTTTTGTTATCATTAGGTATCATTCTTCTCATTATCATTCTTATCATTCTTCGAGTTGAAATAAACTGAATGAAATTGAGCCATCAAATCTCTAGTATTTTTTTTTTTTTTTGCTTGTTTATTTTGTATATCTTGCTATGATGTAAATTGATTTTAAGTGGCACCAGAGGCATTAAAAGCCAGAATACGTGTGTTGGAAAAAGAATTGCATCCTTCGCTGATAGGCAATCCACGTTCTCTTCCTCCTAATAAGTAATTTCTGTCTTGATATCATAAACTGTAAAAATTTTTGCTTTTGTTGAAATCGTTTCGCTCATTTACCATTTTTTTAAATTTCTTAATAATTATGACATAATTTAGATTGCCTGGCTTGGACGAAGCTTGGCGATTACCTATTCCCGCCGAATTAAGTCAACGACAGGAAGAATTTCTGAAAGTAAAATTGGGATAAGCATATAATAAATATTTTTCTATATTATTAATTTCTATATTATCTAGTATTTTTTGTACAAATATATTTATTATTATTGTGCAGTTATATTGGTTCCTTCAATCATGGTTAATTTAAGGTCAAACAACAGCGCTATAGGGATGGTGTTCCACTGATTACTATGGATTTACAACATTTTTTGGTGTTTTTTGTTTTTATTCCAGTTTTTCGTATTTTTCATTTTTAAACTTTTTGATCTTTTTAAAAAATAGAAAATTTTGATCAAGTTCTTTCGATTCTATGCGTGAATACTTCATGTTTTCAGAATTCAGAATCTTTTTTTTTAAAATTTTTTTTTAAATTGAAGTTTAATATGTTCAATACCGAATATCTTTTTGCTTTTATTTTTTATTTTATTCAGAAATCAAATGAGAGTGTTAGCTCGATTAACGAAAAATTACTGGAAGTTTTAAGATCAAATAAGTCGAATATTGCTATTCAAAATCCGATCTTAATATTGCATTTCGATCATAAATGTAACGAGAAGGTATCCTTTTTTGTATTCAGTAGTAGTTTTTTTACTTTTCTTTATTTCTGCGAGTTTATCTTGATCTATTGATCTTTAGAAGTTTAAATTCCTCATGTTTTTTCATTCTTTTATTCATATTTTTCGTTAATAACAGTATTCATTACATTAAGCTACACATTCTTTTTTAACTTCAAAAACTGTTGTATATTTATTTATTGTATATTTATTTTTTTGGTCAATCTAATTCGATCTTATTTTCTTATTTAATCGATTTCTTACTTATTTAGCGGGCGAATAAATAATCAGCGCTCACCATTTGCCCCAAGGACTATTTAATTTTTCAATAAGATTTGCTCATGTCGAAAGCGGGATCCGAGGCTTGTTGCTTAAGGCAGTAAGTTGAAAGGCAACCACTCACATGCTCTGTTGTTTATTTATTAAAAATTCAATTTTCACTAATCATTTTTTTGAACTATTTTTTTTAGAAAGAAGAAATTCGGGAACGAAAACATTTACAAGATTCTTCTGCTTTGCCGCTAGTGTCCCAAGATGATGTTCTTAATATTCTTGGTAGTGTTTCCGTTAAACAGGAAACTATTAATATCAGTAAGATTTTTTAAATAGTGGTTTTGATTTGATCTTGATAATTAAAGATAATTTTTCAAATAGTTGGCTATGAAATATTAAAATAGAATTTTAATAGAATTACAATCAAAATAGAATTGCAATCAAAGATAACCTGAAAAACCTGAATACCTAACCTGAATAACCTGAAAAAGAAAAAAGAAACCAGTTATCATTTTATAGGTGATACGATAGCAGTTACTGATTCTAGTAAAACAAATCAAAAAAACGTTAACCAAGAGGCTGCTATTCCTGTACAGGTTATTTTTTTTTTGTAATTGCTTTACATTATGTTCATTATTATTTAGTTTAGTTGGTATATTTACTTCTAATTTATATTCTATTTATATTATTTTATATTCTGATTCCATATTATAAGCAAGTTTTTAAAAAAATTTTTTTTCCTCATTTATGTGTTGAAGGTGAATTCCTCGTCAGTAATCTTGGATTTCCCTCACTCATTCTCGTTAACTGCAAAACTTAAAGTATCAACGACAATAGTTTCTTCTGAATTGATGGAGAAATGTAGAAAGCGCTTCGAACGGCCAAATGAATTTGCTGAAATATTTGATGAGCGAGTACCGCCTCCTAAAAAAATTTTTCCAAAAATTGAAAGACTATCTGCCGAAAAAGTTGGTTTTTTAGATTACTTTATCGAGCTGTTAGTTTGGATATTATTTTTATTTTTATTGATTTTCTTCATTTTCAATTTTTCGCTCTGTTCATTTTTTTTCATCTAAATCAGTTATTATTTATAGTTACTTCGACAAACTCCAGTCATCATAGTCGAGTCGCGCAAAGATGCCCATTCTTTTGAATTGCAAAATTTTTGCTACAATAATACGATCACTTTAGTTCGTGGTCTAACAACTGTTCTTAAAATGGATCTCTCTTTATTTTCAACGAAATCGTTGATTGAAGCTGCTCCGGATTACGAGGCATATAAATATATTCCTTAATAAATCTTCTCTCAAAAATTTTCTTAAATTTCTTGCAAAAATTTGCTTTCATATGACATTTTATTATCGATCGATATTGTAAAATTTATTGAGAATAAATTTTGTTCTTGGTTCCTGTAATCTTGTAATTTTTGCAGATAGAAATTAAAACTCAATATCGAATGCCCAGTGATTTTAACGTCGATCATCTAGGAAATCCAACATGGGCTTGTTGCAGTACACGCTCATTTTCAACCATAACAAAGTATGCTCAGTATCAAGCTCAATCATTTCAACATGCCATAAAAGTATTCAACTTTTCAATTTGTCGCAGCATATAAGTGTGGTATTAAATAAATATTTATATAATTTATAATTTATCATTATAATATTGTTATTTGTTATAATTTGTTGTTATAATATTTATATGGTATTAGCATTATATTGTAATTTTTCTTAAATTTTTTATTGTTAATAATTAATGAAAAAATATTAAGGAGGAAGCAGAAAAGCTTAGAGCAGCTGGTGCAAAGTATGGTAGTATCGCAGCTGCATCGAATGAAACGGGAAATATATCAACAAAACGTCGTCGTTCCTTCTTCTTCGAAGAATCCTCAATGCCAATGAAGATTTTGAAATATGCTACGAATATAGATCTTTCAGATGAAAAAAAATTCAAGTTCGCTTTATGAAAAATGAGACTTTAAAAAAACTGAGAAATTATTTGGCTGCAAATTTTTGTTTATTTCCCTTCCTTTCGAACATTCTTAACGTCATATAAAATTTCTATTTTAGTTGTTTTTACTGATTGTGTGTATGGCTTTTCGTCATTTAGTCTTGAAGATAAGGATTTAGCTACGTGACCCATATATCGTTTTTAATGGCTGGTTCAATCTGGTCGAAAGAAAAATTAAGATTTAATAAAATCTATATATTTAAGCTCTCTCTCTCTCTTATTTTTATTTTTTTTTAAGAGTTCAACTTGCTGAATTAAATAAATTACCAGCATTTTGTCGCTTAGTGGCTGCGAGTAACATGTTAACGCATCTTGGACACATAGTTTATGGTATGAATACTGTGCAAATGTTCATGAAGGTTTCAATTTATTTTTTTGGTTTTGGTTTAGTTTGAAAATCTCTATTTCATTTCTTTAATTAATTTCAGGTACCTGGCGCTAGAATTTCAGGCCATTTGGAAAACAGTTGTTTTGCTTCCATAAATATTAATATTGGTCCTGGAGAATGTGAGTGGTTTGCTGTTCCATATGAATATTGGCCAATTATTGATGATATGCTTCGTGAGTAAGTATTTATGTATCATATAATAAACGTAAACATGTATACTTTTCGAATCACTTTAATAGTACTTGTCAGTTTCACTTATTGATAAAGGTAGGATTTGGCACTTGGGAAGAGTATTGGCAAGAATATGAACAAGAAAAGAAAAGAAAAATTATAAATCTTAATGTAGATAAAATATGTAACTTAACAATCAACCGTTCGGCAAGGATCTCTACATGGACGGTTCAATCTCTACGAGGTGTTAGCAGTGGCAACATGGAATTGCTCTAGTTTAGAGATGTTTGGATAGGCATTCCATTAAAAATCTTTATATTTTTTTATGTTCCTAGGTATTTATTTTTGTAGTTAATATTTATTTTAATTAAAACCACAAAAAAATGAACTTTTTTTGAATTTTTCGTAATGAAGAAATTTAGGTAGTATTGTATTGTAAATTATTGGCGGAAGAAAAATGATGAATGAGAAGTAATACAACAATAGAGGGAAAAAGAAAGGAGAGTACGTAGATACTTTTATGTCCCTGTATTTTTATATTTTGAATCTTTTATTTTGCAGAAGAGGGCTTGAGTTTCTGAAAGGATCATGGTGGCCGGATATAGATGATTTACTTGATGCTGATATACCTATTTATCGATTTGTTCAGAAGGCTGGTGATTTAGTATGGGTTGGAAGTGGATGTATCTATTGGGTTCAAAGTCTGGGTTGGTGTAATAAAATTGCATGGAATGTTGGCCCTTTAACTGCTTTTCAACTTCAAATAGCTTTGGATATGCACGAATGGAATAGACTTCATGTTGGTGGTCAATTTCTTGATCTGTTTATTCATATTACTGTTTGTTTATACTGTTTTGTTTTCAAATTTTTATGTGGACAAGAATCGAGTTTAAATTTCAAAAATTTTATGAGCATTAACAATAAAGATAATTCAAGATTCGCTGACATAATTCCTGTAATTTCAATTTTTTTTATATAATTTTTACAATTTGAAATTTAATGTATAATTGATTTTAGGGTTACAAATCTTTAGTGCCAATGCAACATCTTTGTTGGCAAATGGCTAGAAATGTTCGCTTTTCGAATCGCGATTTATTTGTGACAATAAAGCAAGTTCTAATAAGGTCATTGGCTTATTGTAAGATGATTGCAGAGGCTATCACTATTGCTGGAAAACCTATCAAAATGCTTTCTCGTCAGAAAGGCGAAGCATCTCATTACTGTTCAGTTTGTGAGGTATTTTCAATATTTTATTTGCAAATAGAGCGATTTTTAATTTTTAAAGGTGTTTTTATGTTAATAAATTGTTTTCCTTCAAAAATTTACTTATTTTTTTAGTTAACGACAGTTATAAAAATAAATTTAACAATGTAAAAAATGAATCTAGAAATAATGTCAAATTACGAGTATACTCTCCATCATTTTTCAACACTTCAAATTTGCAAGTTTTCACTGAATATCTACGTTATCAAAAACTTAAAAATTAATGTTGGGGTGCAGATTGAAGTTTGGAACTTGCTGTTTGTTCGAGAGGTGAACGGGAAATATCCTGTTTATTGTGTACAATGCGCTCGGAAAGCCGATTTTACAAACTTCGCAATATTGCAACAATATACATTTGACGATCTTTCAACAATTTTTGATCAATTCCGGCTTTATCCTGTTAGTTTTCCATGTAATTTTTTAATTTTATCACTGATAATAAAATATCATCTATGATTTTCACTCTTTTTTATTCGCTCAGTTTTATTTAATTTTTACAGCAAAATAAAAGTACGATGATTTGCTAATGATCATATTATCTATGCGATTGTTGTGCAGTACAAATTTCGGTTTCCAGTCCTGTTTTTTAGTTTTTTCGCTTCTTAGCTGTTATTGTCTATGCGAGTTGTCTATTCTTTTCTTTATGATGCCATTTATTACAAGTTTCTTTACGAACCATTTATTGGTCATAAAATTTTTTTCATGAATATAATTCATGAATATAACAAAATTTAGAGAATATTTCTAGTTATTTCATCATCGTAAATATAACAATATAATGAGTGAAATTTTTAGCTATATATGGAATTTCTCATATTTTTCATTATAGTGCCATTTGAAATTTTTATTTATTTTTTTCTAAGCTTTTTTTCATTTTATATTTTTTTTTTATAATTTTACAATAGGTTTTTTTTTATTTTTTAAAATTATTTTATATTTAAAATATTTATCCAATCCATTCTTTTTTATTCAGTTAAATGTACATTATTGAAGCAACTGAGAATTTCATTTCTCAGTCTAATAAAAATTTTAAAAATTTAAACTATTTGATATAAATAAATTTGGAATGAACCTAGGATTTTATTTTAAATTAATTAGATGATTTTGGTTAGTTGTGAGTTTTTTAAATTTTTATTCAGATAATATATCAGATGTGCACGTAGTTTTTTTCATTCGTATCATCAATTATTTGAATAAGCTACTAACTGAAGAAATTTTTATTTTGTGTAATATTTATTTCTAAAAGTAAAATATGTAAAATTATTGTATTGTATCGTTAGTTTCTTAAGATATTCCTTATTTCTATATTATATTTCCCAGTGAAGTGTATATCTTTTTTGTTTTTTTTTCGCTATTGGTGCCAACTGTTTTTTTTTCTGCATCACATTTCTGGTTAGGCTCTTCCCGCCGGCTTTTTGGACCATACAAATTTTTCTAGAAGACCATTTAGCGATAGAAATATAGATGGGCAACCTGCATCATTTGATTAATCGTAATGTGCATTTAAAAATTTTTAGGATTGAAGCTTTCTGTAACAGTGGTTCGTTGGTAGTTGAATTTTTTTTATTTTTTTTATATTTTTCAATTTCGAAATTGATGATATGAATTTATTACTTTTTTTTTCGCTATTGGTGCCAATTTCGTTTTTTTTTCTGCATCACATTTCTGGTTAGGCTCTTCTCGCTGGCTTTTCAGACCATATATATTTATAGCATTTTTACGGCATTTTTCGTATTAACAAAGGTCTGGCTGATATCAAAACGGGACCAGTTAAGACCTGGCCTAATAAAAGTTTTCAATATATAGGTTTACAAGCGAGTGGCTTATCCTCAGGTGTGGCATCGGAATGACTTGGAAGCAGATTGCTTTTATAGCCTAACCAGTAAAACTGCAAACTGTTGAAGACGTTGGTCCAATATTGTTCGTGTAATATGTAATATAATAAATGAATTTCAAATTATATTATTGTATCATAAAAATAAAAAATTTCATTTCGAAATATTAATGAAAAATCGACTGAATTTCAAGGCAGGTTGGGTCAATTAACGTTTATTCTTGGCTCGGCTTCCATTTATAAATGTATATTTTTAGCTCCAAAATAGCGTAATAATTAGGACGAGAGATTGTAATTGTAATTGTTAGAATCGCAGTATCCAATCCTCTCTACCTTATAGATGAGTGTCCTTAGAGAAGATTCTCTGAAAGCTTATTTGCATTAATCTCCTAGGCTTGTTATGTTGAAGGGCCCGGATTTTGAGGTGAGACCTGTACGCAATATTGGGAAGGGAATTTTTTAAAATATTGTCAAACATCGCCTTATTCAACCTTTTATAACAAATTTGATTACATCATTCAAACAACAAATTCATAAAAGAAAACAATTTAGGAGAAAAATTTGAGTCTAATCTAGTAAAAATCATGCCAATACTTTTAATCATTGAATCAAAATAATTATAATACTAATTGTAATAAATAGGATACCATATATAAAAATCAGTTTAAAAAATTGAGAATTAATAAAATATAAAAAAGTGAAATCTATTATCAGTATTATCAGTACGAGTACCAGTGTTATCAGTATTATCAGAAAAAACCTTTCTTATCATTCTTTTTTCCATCATATTTTAGCATTTTTAGTTTTGACAGTCTTCACTGAATATGCGGACTTAATCAGCAATTGATAAAAATACAAAATAAATTGGCAAACAGTTTTCTGATCTTTTTCTTAAAGCAAAAATGCGATCAGATGATAGATTAGCTCAGTGGACTGCTGCTCAATTCGACGCTGGCGTGCCGATGTGTTGAGATTCTACTCTCAGCTGCAATAAAATTCCGGGTTATGCTAACGATTCAGCTGTATTTCTATCGCCAAACGAATCCCTGGTGCGACAAGCCAGTGGAGCGAGTCTAACCGATAATGGTGAGGGCTCTAAAAAGAAAAAAAAAATGCAAAAATACGATTGGAAACGTTTTAGAATGCTTAGTTCTCTTAAATTAGGATAGTTTATCGAAAAATATGGATATTATAAAATAATTTATTATAATTGTTATAGATGGATCGACTTCACTCCCACCCATAAATATACTTAAAAATCTCGATTCATTCGTTTCCGCTCTACATTTTTACTATTGTATTCGTATCGTTTTTACTGGTATTATTATTATTATTATTATTATTATTATTATTATTATTATTATTATTATTATTATTCATGCAAATATATACCATTCATTTCTTATTTTTTATTTAAAAAATCATTTCTCCCAAAATATTTTTTTTTATTTTTATTACTATTATTTTTAATAAATAATTATATAATTATATAATTTAATATAATTTATATAATTTAATGAAGCTATTTAAAATGATTTTAATTTAATCGTATTTAATTTTTTTTTTGAATTTAATTTTTTTTGTTTTTATTGTTTTCATTATTTTCATTATTTAATAATTTATATAAAATTTGGAAAATTTTGAAGAATTTTTTATAAAAATCAAAAATGAAAAAATATGAAAATAAAAATAGATCGAAAATAAATAGTAACACTAATATAACTTCATAAATTGCCCAAAATGGTTTTTTAACAATTGTCATTTGGCAAATGTCAAATGAATTAGTGTGACAATGCAAACGCATTTCAGCAGATATCACAAAAAGTGACATGCATTTCAGCAGATATCACAGATAGCATGCACATGCATTTAGTGATATAAAGCGAGGCATATAAATTGGCCAACCGATTTCATGTTTAATGCCAACTGAGCATAGCACTATTTTCCACAAAATATCCGTAAAATCCATAATTATAACTTTTTAAACAATTAATTTAGAACAAAAAAGCACATATATTTTACAATATTTATTTGTTGGTAAAAATTTCATCTCAAAAAAAAAAAAATGGGATAGATTTCTTAATATTTGTATTATCCATGCTAATCGTTCACAGTTCGTTTTGTTCCGGCTGACCTAGTTGCTGCGACTAGTTTATTCCATTTCGTTTCGTCAATTTATTCCATTTCAATATATTTTTATAATTTCGATATTAAATTAAGGGGTATAAAAAGTGAAAATGTTTAGTACCAAAATTTTCCCTATAGGTTCTCAATAGAGATTTCCTTCGCTCTCTGTTATGATCCATTTGAATCAAAAAGTAATTACTTAATCTTAATGAAAGTTAATGAAAATTGATATTCAAGAAAGATAGTTGTAAAAAAATTCGAAATCCAACACATTTTTTAGCTCATAAATGAAAAATTGATTTATGCAACAACTGATTGTATTGCTTTGTAATCATTTGAAAAGTAAAGAAATGAAATTCAAGTGGTACTAAAATTTACGCATAGCGTAATTACATGCAACTAAAGTCTTCTAAGTAAGAAGTCTCTAAACATTAACTGATAATTTTGTACTGTTTCTTTTCTGCTAATAGCATTTCTTTTTTCTCAGGTCCACTTAACTGATAGAGATGAGATTCAAATAATATTTATAATGACATGCACATGCATTTTAGGAGATATCGTAAATAATGGCAAGCGTATGCATAGAAATATAATTGGCTTCCCACTGTCCTCTAGATTTATTTTATTTTTAATCAAATGACCCTAGCGTTCATTGATTACAATTCATTTCATCCAGCTAGCAGTTTCAGCATTTATATAAATTGCACCACCTTTTTTATGGAACTTTTTCTCTTGCAAATTATGGTAGAGTGGAGCAAAAATATTTTCATTCCTAATTCCTAGTCCTATATTATTTGCGATAATATTAGTGAATATTATCTTAGATTTTCTTTCGAGAGATCGATCCGAGATTTTTTTATTTGAGACAATTTGAGATAAAGCAATGATTTTTTTTTTCTACTACTAAATCTATGTAATTAGTCTGTTAAATTTAGTAATTAGGCAGGTAGGAAAGAATAAATTTTTCAGTGATTGCTTCAAATGTCCTTGAACGACGAGTTAGTTATTTTGACTTCTTTGTTTGACACTCTTTTTATTTATTGTATTTTGAGATATATTAAGACTTGATCTCTTCGATTCGATGCATACCCATAACCTTTATGATTTACAAAATTATTTATCTCAATATCATTTATATTGAGATAATCGTTATCAAAAATTCGTTCAAATTATCAATTATCAATTTATAAGCTTTATTTATAAGCTTTATAAGCTTTTATAAGATTTATAAAAGAAATTTATAAGCTTTTCGAATTTTTCGAAAAAGTATAGAAACTGCTTTTTGCAAATTTTTGTCGAAAAAAAATTTCTCAAAAATTGTAATTTTTTTTTTTGCAAAAATTTTTATTTTAGATTAAAACTAAAATAAAAAAATATCTATGTGGATAAGAATGATTTATACTAATCGCGGATGGTTTATTTTATTAGTCGATTAACGATCGGCGATTCGCGTTAGTGGATTTTGTGGATAAGTTGGACGATATTTTCATTGCAAATTATCTTATCTTAGTATTTTGTGATAATAATTACTCGTATTAAAGGCAACTAATTTTTAATTCTTTTAAATAAACCATGCACGCGACAATATTTCATATTCGATATTTTTTAACGATATTTGCTTATTCAATATTATCGTCCATATTTGTCGAATCACAATCGAATTATAAATTTGACGGTAAGTAAGTTTTTCATTATTCTATCGCTTTGACATTTATTTTTTTAAATATCAATAAATAAATATTTATTTTAATATCTATTTTGAATATTTTTTTTATAAAATATAATCTAAAAAATCTGAAAATTTAATTTTTATTATAATTTTTAAGATTTTTTTTTCGTGAAATTGTTTTTTTTGATATCATTTTTTTCGAAATTCTTAGTCATATAATTTTTCGTTAAATATCTGAATGAATTAAATAAAAAAGAAATTTAAAATGTGGAAAAAAATTTAAGGCGAAGAATTTTAAAAAATTTTAGAGAAAAAATATTTCGTTGAAAGATAATTTTTTGATTTATTTTTCCTAAAATATAAATTTCTTTTAAAAAAATTGTTATAAATATTTTTCAAGAAGGAAAATTATTAAAAAAATAAATTATTAAAATTATTAAAAAAACTAAAAATTATAAAAAAATAAAATTGTAAAATTATTTGAACAAAATGCTAATAAAATGCTAAAACTTATTTTCATCGCCACCATTAAATTTTCTCGCTATTTAGCAAAAATATAAAATATAAAATATAAATATAAAATATTTGTTTGGGTTTGGATTATCTTTTATTCTTTTAAACTAATTTTATTTAATTATTATATTTAATTAATATTTAACAATATTTATAAAAATATATAATATTTAATTAATAAGCAAAGGAAATAAAAAATATTTGTATTTTATACTTTAAAAATTTTATTTGGACAATTAAAGAATTGATTTTTTTTAAAAATATTTATTATTTTTTAAAAATTTTCAAGATTTTTATCAATTGACTCGATTTTATATTATATTAGTTCGATCTATTGGTCATCATCATTCATTGATTGATCTATTATTATTTATAAATTCATTATTACAGTTACTCCAACTTGTGGTCAACAAGTTATAAAAATAGTGTTGACATTCGATGGCGAATTACTTCCTGGTAATCGTTTCGATGACTGGATTATTGTTGGTCCAAATAATCGTCCCGAATGTAAATTACAAGGAAACGGTGAATTACAATATGTTATTGAACTCGCTGTCTTCAACGATCCTTGTGAGACTCAAATGGTATGAAATGAACGCATATTTCATTCATAAATTGCCAAATTTATTGAATAATTTCGTTTTTTATTAATTTTGATTTTTATGAATAAATCAAATTATTAGCTCCGATAATTATTCGCCTAATATATGTCCAACTCCAACTACTCGAACTAACTAAATATGATAACTATCGTATCTACAAGCAGCATACGTTCTGTTTCTGATTAGACTCGTTCCGCTAACTTTTAAGGCCAAACAAATTTTGGCTAAAGAATCATTTGGCTAAACGTAAAAGTAATAAGCAAAAGTAATTGCCAGCATTACTTGTCCTTCTATTGTTCTTAAATTGTTTGACAAAATAGATTATTTGAAAAATTGCCTATTTGTACTAAATTTTATCTATTTTCAGTTATTTGATATTTTAATGATGAATTTGGGACATTTATTATAATTATTCTATATCGAGTTATTTAGCCATTTACATTTAATAGTTCTTTAATAGTCCGAATTTGATGAATTTAAGGATTTTTGCACTAAATTAAACCAAACTAAAAATTTATTACTATACCACAAAATTTGAATCAGTAATCCTTCTTTACTATGCGCATCCTATATCACCATAAGTATGAATAAAATTCCTCCTCCTCCTCCTCTTCCTCCTTCCTTTTTCTTTTTCATCCTTGCAATATCTTTATTAATATGACGCTAGCAATAATTATTTTTCCATTCTTATTTTGAAATCTTAAAATTTTCCCTCTTTTTTAAATCAATTTTAAGTTTACAATAGAGAAAGTGCCGAAAAATTTTTTAAAAATTCTCTTCTTTTTCTATTCGATAATTAAATTTTTCACCAAAATGAGTGCTATTGTCATAGAACTTCCTAAAATCATCGCAGTTTTATAAAAAAAAAGGAAACTTTAGATTATTGTTGTTGAAAATGCAATTTATTTTTAGAATTTTACAATACTTATAGGCTAATTGAATTTCCTATCGAAAATTTCGAATTTTTATAATTTAATTTTTCCAAAAAAATTAAGTCAAATTATGAATATTTTTTATAATACATATTTTAGTCAATGCATCCAATTACACAGTTAATAGAGTTTTTTTTTTTTCAAAAAAAGCCAATGAAGAATTGTTATAATTATTTTCTTGGCCATAAAACTCGTTCAAAATATAAATTTTAGGCTAAGAAAAAAATTTTTAATTTTTTAAATGTGGCAATTTTAAATTTTTTTTCAGCCGTCAAATGGTATTTTTCAAAATAAAATACGCATCGCTCAAAATCCGGCAATAATTTTACAAGGAGATCGCAATTTTATTGTAAGATGTGTCTATGGATTACCCGAAATTAGCCAACTAACTATGCCTATTGTAAATTCTTCATTCAACGCCGTTACCATATCGTAAGTCATAATGATAACTTTAAGAATAAATATGTTTCAGAAAATAAGAATAAATAAATAAATAATAAAAAAAGAATGAAACTGTTAATACGGCTCACTGGAATTTTTTTTAAAGAATTCTCACCATTACTGGTTAAACTCGCTCCACTGGTTTATCGCATTGAGTAATATGCCGTGGAGTCACTTGGCAATAGAAATACAGGTGAATCGTCAGCATTACCCAGATTTTTGTACAGATTTACCTCTGCGAGGAATCGAACCACTACATCGGCGCTCCTAGTTGAGCAACAGCCCACTGAGCCACTCTATTCCTCTACTTACTAGATTAACAGGCCATAAATTAAGAAATTAAAAAATTTCAAGCGTCTTTAAAATCTAATATTGTTGGTTGATAAATAAGGCTTAAATAGGCGATGAATTGATTTTTAGGGATATAGGACCATCATTGAATACACTTCAAACCGATTTATTAACACCGACTAGCTTCGAAATTTCGGACTCTGATTATCAGAAAACGAACGCATTTCCATGGACCATATTAATGTCCATTATTGGAATACTCTTTATAGTTGTTTTACTCTCAATGTTAGTATTTGTTTGTGTGAAATGGAGAATGGATACGCTAAGCGAGAGGGAACATGGTAGACAAAGCGGTCTTACCACAGGTTTTTTAAATTATTATTTATTCCTAATTACTTTAAATAGCATACTACTCAATCATAATCAATCAAATCGTTCTATATTTATTTATAATTATTGTAAATTATAAAATAAGAAAGAACCAAAAAAGGACAGTTTTTTGTTAATAAAACAAGCTTTTTTCTTCTCTCAAATTTGTAAAAATAATTTTCAAACAATTTTTTTTCTTATTAAAAAGGAAATAATCAGTATTTTAAATAAAATTTTCATAAATGCTCTCAAAAATTTGATTAAATTTTAAGTTAGTGAAACAAGCAAATATTGTGGATATTCTTGGTGGGGAAGTAAGGAAGCTTTGAATCGAGAGCAACTTGCAAATCCAGAATTGGGCATTAATCGGTATTATGAATTTTTTATGAATTTACCATTTTTGATAGTCATAAATCCAGAAATTGGCACCAATCGGTAATATATATTTTTGGTATTTAAAAATTTACATCTGAATTATTTAAAGAGTTCGATTTGAATAGTTTTAGCACCTAAATTTTGATTACAATAAGGAATAGAATAACTCAATAGGTTATTACACAACTCGAAGTAAACCTACTGCGACTCGTGCAGGAGTTAATATATCTAAAAATTCGAGTGATATTGGTGTCTCACTTGTGCTTCTATCGCTAAGAGATCCTCTGGCAAATTTGTCTAGTACGACAAGCCAGCAGAGCGAGTCTAACCAAATAATAATGAGAGCTCATAAAAAAAAAAATTTAACCGCATTTGATAATAGAATATCATATTTTATCTTTAGTGCAACAAACTTAAGAAATATTTCAAATGTGAGTCCTAATGCATCAATTGCTACGTCTACTGGATCTAACCGTTCTTCAGACAGGCCAAGTCCAAAAACAAATAATCATTTACGATATCAGCCAACTAATGAATCGACTGTTGATGGCACGAGTAATTACTTCCTACGGCCTAGTCGAGTTAACAAAACACCTAATGTAAACCAATATTTTTTATTAGTTTTTTATATAAGCCAACAAATTTATTTTTAGATAAGGAAAATTTTTTGAGTGGAGTTCATAATGGCCTTGGATACTGTAGTAAATTTTATTCACAATTTTTAATGATAGATTATTATTTATTTGTATTTGAAACCTATTTTGCTTTCGTAAGGGTGACGTCGATCGATGTACTTCATTACATGCTACAGAAAATGGCTGCTTAGGTGGAAGGCTGTCTGAAGTTCGGTCAATCACTGAAATCTACCGATCAGCTGAAACCGCTATTGGTGAAAGCGATTCCATTTCACAGACAACTCTGGAAGGTATTATACTCACTGTGTTTTTTATGGATTGGATTTTGGTATTTCAAAAGATCCTTTAAAAAAGCTTCATAACCTTTCATTAAACGAATTAATCCGAGTGATGCTGACGAGTCACTTGTATTTCTATCGCTAAGGGTCTCCCTAGCATATTTGTCCAGTGTGACAAGCCAGATGAGCGAGTTTAACCAGCAACGGTGATGAGAAACGAATTTGCGTGCCTATAGGATTCGTTCATATATTCCTTTTCCTTTTCTATATATGATTTTATTTCAAGAAAATCTCATTATAAATCCTTAGAAAAATAATTATAACTTTTCGGATATTCTATTAAATTCCAATAATATTTCGTTATAATTCCAAATATTTTTCGAATAAATTATCAACTATCGACCGAATCAAATTTAAATTTTGTCGCAAATTTTCTTTCAAATTATCATAATTATTGATGCCAATTTTAGAATTTTATGTAAATAATTTTTTTTAAAAAAATATTTCTAATTATTTATTTCTAATAATATTTCTAATAATATTTTTAAAAAAGTTTTAATCAAATATTTTCTAAAAAATATTTCTAATTATTACTCATTTATTATAAAAATGCTATTGTTTATGGAATAAAAAATAAAAAATATTCAGGAACAACAACAGTTTCACACTACGATCAAACATACAATAATTTGACATCAGTTGAACGCTTATCGAAATGCGTCGAAAAGATTCGAGGTTTTGGACCGAGAAAGCTCACTGAACAAGAATTAGGTATTTAATGTTTTATGATTTTGATAATAATAATAACACGAGTCATGCAATTATCTTTCAAAGAACTCTCCCCATACAATTGAATGAGACAAGCAAACCAAGATAATTTTATTATTCAAACTGTCAATTTGTCACTGAAAAAATCATTGAAAATTGAATTAAATTATTTTCCCAACAACGAAACTTGAAATGATTATTACAAAAAAAATCTGCCCTACTAATAGATTAATTTGGTTGCTGGAAACATATTAGTACCTCTATCCACAATAAATCTCTGCCTTATACTTTTTTTTTATAAGCCATTATTGGTTAGACTTACTCCGCTGCCTTGTCGAACTGGATAAATAGGAAATTCGTTGGCGATAGGGATACAGGTAAGTCGCCAGCATCACCCGGATTTTTAGACAGGCTTACTTCTGCGAGGAATTAAATCACAATGAGTGCCAATGTAAATTCATTTATCTTGGCCTCCGTTATATAATCATTGTGATATGATATACAATATTGACGAATTCATGGATATGACCGTCCTCCTAATCAGTATGGTTCAGTAGTCGCTGAGTCGCAAAATTTCTATCTAAATGATTATTTTATTTCAATAATTATAGGACGATGGAAACGACTTATTGCTAATAATGTTGAATTTCGAGAAAAATTGCTCAAAACTTTTAAATTAGAAGAGATCGAGAAAATTTGTTTATCAGACAAATATCGCAATATGTTTCCTCAACAAAAATGGCATAATATTATGAATTGTATTTTCGATATGCAACAAAAAACACTCCATGATACAAGGCAGTTTATCAATAAAAATGACGCATCTGCACAGGTAACTAAAATTGAAATTGAAAATTTGTAGCGACTTCTTATAATTCATCAAGTTACTCTCTAGCAAAAATCGCCTAAATTAGGAAAAAATATAATATAAAATTATAATATAATATAATATAATATAAAAATATAATATATATATAATAAAAATATAAAGTTCACTTTGATCTTCTTTTTTTTTTATTCAATCTATATGGCGATCATTAAATAAAAAATCCTCAAAAAATAGGCATTCCTCAAATTAAGAAAAAATATAAAAAATATGAGGAATTACAAAAAAATTTTTGCCATAAAGTCACTTGCCGATTAATAAGAAGTCGCTAGTATGACTCAGATTTTTGAAGGAACATGGTACCATTTGAAGGAAACATAGCCTTTGCGCTAATATTGATGGAGTATCTAGTTGTATATCTAATAAGGCACTGATAGATTTCAGTAAAGCCAGTAGCTGGATTTAAATTTAAATTAGAACGAAAACCCGACGACATGAATCAAGGTCATGCTATTAGCTCGTAGCTGAAGTACAATAAGGTACAATGATATAAAATATTCAAGATTTTACATGCAGGATTAAGGAATATTTCGCAACTGCTTCGTCAATGAATCAAACATATATTTCTGATATAACTTTTTCCACACTTAGGTAAAAAAAGCGTTATCTTATCAAGCCATCGTCATTATCCTTATTATCATCATTTTATCATTGTTCCTTTATCTGCTAAATCATACATTAACGAAATTTTTAAAACCAGGAAAACTATCTTTTTTTTTGAATTTATTAGCTTTATTTGTAATTTCAGGAATTAATAGCTTCTTCGCTTAATGTTTATGTTGGTAATGTGGACGCTTCTGGATGGTGATATTATGATATTTTATTATGATTAAATTTCAGATTTAATAAAAATTTTTAATAAATTTTGTTTTATTTAATGAAAAAATACAAGTAGATTGTAAATTTATAATAAGAGTTTGGTCAATATTTCTTTATTATTTTTAATCTTTACTCGTTTACACTTGGTAAATTCGATTATCGATGTTTTCGTCCCGTTTCAAAGAATTTCATCGTCGATCATTATCATCATTGTGATATGATAATAATGATCATTGTTGTGACGTTATTGTCGACTTATTTCGGTGCGATTTTTGGGATAAGTTTCGCAACGATTTTATTAATAATCTTCGGTTATGGTTGGGGTTCGCTACCATTCTTTTATCTACGAATTATTGAAGCGTTTCAAAATTTTTTTTCACTTGATTATCCAGTTGATAATGAACACGAACGGTCAATTATCATAAAACGTTCAAGCAATTTTTTAAATGAAAATGATTCTGATGATGAAGAATTTTTCAGGTAGATTTTCTCTAGTTTTTAAAAACTCATCTATTAAAGAATTATTTTTCAGAAATAACTCTTTCTTTCTTAGCTTTGGCTCTTTCTTTTCTTTTATACGGCCATTGATAATTCTTTATTTGTTCGAAACCTTTAATAAATTTTTATTATTTGCTAAAAAAAAGGGTGGTTTCAGTCGTTTCCAGTCGTTTTGTCTAATAGCGCTTCTTTTGAAAAGAAAAATTCCAAATTCTAATCATTTTATCATTTATTGAAAGAATTTTCTTATCAGTTATTCTTTCATTTCAGTCGTTTATCTTTTCGTCTCGGCAAAAAATTAGTTATTGTGAATAAAGAAAACTTTGATCTGTTGCCTGCTTTAAAATTTTTTGATGTTGATAATAATTTAATGACTTAACGTTTTTCACACTCTTTATTTTTTTTTTCAATTCACACTTTACACTTAAAATTTAAATTTTCTTAAATTCATAATATTTTAATAAATGACGTTTTAAATCGAACAATAATTTAAGATTATATTAAAATAATTTGTTGCATTGTTTTGCTTGGAAAAATTAAATGTAAAATAATTATAAATGATAAAAAGATTTAAAAAAGACTTGAATAGTGGTGATTAAATGATAACATCTTATTTTAGTAGCCAATGGAGTCGCGAGCCAAATTTCCAATACTATTAATATTAAATTCGGACAATTATTTTGCTTACATTTTTACAAATAAATAATTTTTTTAATAAATAATAACAAACAAAAATAATTTTTTATAAAAATTATTGCCCAAAATTTCAAGCTACTTTTAGACGATAGATGGCTTTAAAACAACTTATTTATATTTAAATAGAATCTTTTATGAATCTTTTTTAGAAAATTTTACTAACTTTTCAATCATTTTGTATCACTTTATCAGTTTTATCAGTAGCTGCGCTATTCAATTTTTAATATTACCTTTTTTCACTAGTGGAACATCAACATAGTTGCACATTTCGTTTCAAAATTCCAAAATTTTGCAAGTCTATATATGTGCAAAAATTAATCATACAATAAAAAAATTTAAATATTTAAATATAAATAGGAATTTTCAAATAACTGCCAAGATGAGACACATTTAATTGCTCCAAGCAATCCCACAATATCGAATTTCGTTTCAGCAACGAGAATTATAAAAATGCCTTTGATATATCTATCGATGCTTTTAAAAATGGATTTGAAACAGTTATTCAGGTGGAATATTATTTAACATCATTACAATTTTCAGTTTCTGAGGCAGTCAACTATCATTCAGGCTACAGCAATAAGCAAATAATTGCTATTATTATGCTATGAAATGAAATATTCCAATAGCTAGCTAATTAACCGTATTCAATTTAAAAGATAGATGGTCATTTTTATTCCATACCAACTTTTTTTTCCTAACTGTGGTTAGACTCGTTCCATTGGCCAATAGTCGGACCAGGCAACTTTTCTTAGAAGTATAAATGAGTCGCTAGCACCAATCGGATCTATCGATTTATTCCCACCGAATCCTGTCATCCGAAATGAAAACCACTATCCACTAAGCTAATCTACCATTTCACCTTAAATATGCTAATTTTGTAATTTTATAATTTTAAAGCAACTTTTCAAATTTATTGTTTAGTTTTATTCTGATTTTTATCTACTTGCGTTTAAATTTAAATCGTTGATTTATCGATTTAAACATTAACCTTTCTATTATTAAACTAATTATTCTAATAAATTAATTATTCTTTCTATAACGAGTTTTAAATTATTAAATTAAAACTGAATTGAATCAATGGCATATTGGAAATTTTTAAATTTTAGCAAGAATAATTAAAAATTATAATAATTAAAATTTTTGTAACACTACTGACAAATTTTTAATAGCACTACTGATAATTATATCAGTTTTTTATCATTTTAAACAATAATAGCGTTGTTAAAATAAATTTTCAAGGAAAAACTTAGAGACATTTTCATATAATTTTTGTATTTGAAATCTAATGAAAACTCTATTATGCTAAAAGAATTACTTAAGAAAGACAATTTTTATTATTTGAAAAAATTTTATGATAAAAAAAAACAATAAAATTTTTTCGCATATCACATCATATATTCACATATTTATAGAAAATTGTAAAATTACTGATTAAAATATTTCAAAATTTATTAATTTATGGAAATTATTTGCAATATTTGCAATATAAAATTGATAATTTACAGGATGACCTAAGTGCTGCATTTGATGTCGCTCCATCATTTTGCGAGACGTTGCTTGAATATCTAAATCGACTGAATTTGCAAAAAATATCAAATTTGTTATTATGTGATTTGCAATTTTTTGCTTATGCAGCCTCGTTAATTTTTCGATATACAATTCTTCTACCAGTTAGATTCAGTTTAATTGCAACTTCGTTTTTGTATGCATTTTGTGCTGTTTTTTTGTCGTATTTTATTCAACTTACGTTAAAACAGCGGATTGATATCAGTGTGACTTATTGTCGCTTATATGGCGCCGGTATTGGACTTATTGCTAAGTACCATAATTCACAGAATAGACCTAGATCACCAGGTTTTTCTTTATTCTTTCTTGGTTACAGAAATATAAATTTATTAGATTAGTTAAATGATTGTTACTTTAGATTTGTTAGCCAAAGAGTTTTTTTGTACTATTTTCTTTTTTACTGAAACATAAAAATTTGCTTATAATGTATGTTAAGGAAAAAAGAAAAATTTTGAAAATACTTAAATTTTATTTGGCATTTTTTTCTCTTTGGTTTGGTTGAATTAGGTGGTCCGGTTTTCACGGAACATTTCTCCTTTTCGTCAATTAAATTGCGCAATATATCTTTTGTTTAAAAATAAAAAATCAATCAAGTTTATACGATTTTTCATATAATTCATATGATTTTTAGTTTTTTAAAAAATGAATAGAAATAAAATAAAGCCGAAATTTTATTAAATTTTATTTTATATCTTTTATTAAAATTACAATTAAAATAATCTTTAATAATTATAATTATATTATAGGAATCGCTGTATCAAATCACATATCGCCAAATGATATACAAATCATTTTTGCGGATATTAGTTCATATGGAAGCGATGGTTTCACTGTAACGGGACAAAAACATGGCGGAATAATTTGGCTTATAGAAAGGCTTGTTGAGAGGATTTGTCCAGCAATATGGATGGAAAGATCAGATAGTGAAAGTCGAAAGCGTTTCACCACAGAAATTTTTAATAGTGCAATAGTTGGGTCAATTTTTGAAGAAAAAAATTTAATATTTTATGGTGACATAATGGTGACATACTGTTTTGCTTAAATTTGGAGAATTAGAGCAAAAGGATGCGTTTCCTACTTCAGATTTCCCTTTTCAAACTTAAGCAAAATAAAAAAGAAAAGACATTTTGAATTCCAAGGTTCAAACTGATAATAAAAAACTTTTTTTTATTTCAGTCACATCCAGTTTTATTATTTCCGGAAGGGTATTGCACAAATAATACTAGTATACTTCGATTTAGAAAGGCTATATTTAAAAGTGGAATAAATATTTATCCAATAGCACTCAGGTTGGTAAATATAATATTCACAATAAATTTTTTCAGTATCAAATTTTTTATCTTATTGATATTTTTGTACCAAAAATTCTTATCACTTGTAATTATTTTGAAGCACTTTCAAATATCTCATTCTGATCTCCTTAATTCAGTAAAATGATTTTTTTTTTTGGAAATGAAAATGATTAATTTTTTTTTTCTGTTCTTCTAAATTGGTATATTATTTTTCCACCGACTCTTAATCAAGAAATTACTTCAAGAAACTCTTAATCAATCTTCAGTCATAAACCAGAATAATCGTATTAATCCTAAATAAGCTTCATGCTATTCACCGCAAGATTTGCCATGCAGGAAAGTAGGATATGCTTTAGACCCTACAACGGATGATTTCCTTTAACATGATTTATTTTATGATTATTAAACCAATTGTTGAATTTTAAAATATGGTAGAGATAAACATATATAATCCTTCCTGGGTAGAATGGTACAGTGCTGAATTCACAGTGCTAAACTTACTACTCCTACTCCTCGCAGGAGTAAATATGTACAAAAGTCCGGGTAATGCTGGCATATTTTTTTCACTAAAGAACTTTCTGGGTACATTTTCTAATACGAAAAGCTAGCTGATCGAGCTTAAGCAGTAATTGTGAGAGCTTTTAAAAAAAAATCCTCTGGCAACAAATTCATCCAATGAAATGAACCTAACAAGAAATGATGCTAAGCATTTAATATGCTAGAATTTACTCGCCTTCGAAGGAATTCCAGACAACGATAATATGACAAATCATAAAGAAATTTTTCCTGAAATCTAGTGAGATATTTGAAATTGTTTTAGGCCAATAATGCTTCATTGCTTCCATTAAATAATAATTGTATAAGTTAATAGGCAGAAATCGAGATTCGGTGACTCGTTTTGGAGAGAAGATCAATTCTGGCGTTATATGCTTCGAGTAATAACATCGTGGGCTATCGTTTATGATGTTTTCTATCTTGAAGCAATGCAAAAATCGCACAGTGAGACAAATGAGACTTTTGCGAATCGAGTACGGCAAGAAATTTCTAGAGCGTTAGTTTTTTTTTAAGTTAATTAATTCCTTCTCCATCTCTAAGTCATATATGGGTTATAAAAAAACATTTTTTTTTTAGTGCACAAATCAAACCTATCAAATCCGATGGACGATTATGGTACTTGGAAATCGAACGTCAACGTATGAAAGAGATGCAAATGAGAAAATTTTCCAATATATTTTATGAAATTTTCATTCGGCGAGAAATTCACTGCGAATCAGAAATTCATAAACGAAATCTTTAACAGCCACGCTAAACTTATTTCTAAATTAAACTTGTACGTGTATCTTATCTTTTAAAGCTAAGAGTTGCGATATTATTACCAGTAAAGTATGATTGTTAGCCGAATGAATTCATATGATATAATGTTTTTTTTAAATCGGCTCAAAATATATTTGATCCAGTAAACTATTAGAGTAATAAAAGTTTGAAAGTTTCTTAGCAGTTTCTAGGCAGTACATAATATTTGTCACTAAGTACCAGAGTAAAGGTGATTGATGCGAGTGAAAAGTAGATAAGTTGATCCTTACAAAGTGAACAAAAGCACAAAGTTATGATTGAAATATCAAGATTCAAGTAAAGTTGAACGAGTGATATATCAGTGATAATCAAAAACAATCGACGAATTTAATATATAAAAAAATTTTAACAAACATTACAAAAATTTCAAATTTTTTTATAGCATATAATTTCTGGTTTGGCTAAATCTTTTGGCTCTCTTGGCTCTTCGACTATGCGATCCTTTCGCCTGAGAATAATTTAAAGGCAAAATTACTGTTCAATTCCCAGCACCTATTCATATTTCTTATTTCTCTCCAGAACAAAAATTCTTACCATTTATACTCATTCTTAGTGGAACCAACGCACCATTCGAATCGAATGACCACTTTTAAATCGTATTTAAATAATATTTAAAGTTGTTCATCTTTTTTTTTTCAATCTTTCTGCCTTTCTTTCGAATTCCCTTATACAATTCCCTTATACAAACAAACAAAAGGAAAGATTATTTTGCAAGTAAAACATTCTTAGCTTAATTTAAGATTAAAATTTATAACTTATCATAATGACTGATAATATTAATGCAATTAATTATTTCCATATGTTTTTAAACAATGCCATCCAACAAACTGGCGGAATTATCAGCAAACTTAGAACGTCCCTTGATATTTCCTCAAACTCGTCGTAGTTCTATAATAATACAATATATCTTTGAAAATTTATACGCGATTTTAGCATTCGACCAGTGACTTCTATGCGACTTTACTTGTTGCGCCACAATTGCATAACTTTATAGTAATTACACTATTGTAAATTATTAAATTTAGAATAATTCATTTGCAAGCAACAAAATAAAATGAAGTATATTTATAATAATAATATAATATAATAATAGATCACAACCACAATGGTAGATCGCATTTTTGTTGCATCATTTTCATAGCCTTATAATCAACTTTTCTAATCACAAAATGAATGACTGTTAAAATTTATACAATCAGCTTACAACTCCAATTTATACAACTCCACATTTAGCGACTTCTTAGATTATATTCTACTATTCATGCTAGAATTTGATGAATTAGCAGATAATACGGCTACAGTCATAAATTATTTTTATAATATAACATAACTTTGAAAATCCACGCGGTTTTAGTATTCTCTGAGTGGGAAAAGGAGAAAATATTGGTTGTATTGTTACGAGATAAAAATTTAATTCATTTTAATCGCTTTATTATGTTGCGAGATTACTTGCAATTTTTTAATGCAATATTTTTGCAATCGAACCATTCTCAGTTGATGACAATAATATTGCTTAGTTGTCTCAAGCTTGTCCACCTGAAATATTTTTGTTTTAATTTTTTTGTGATAATTGAAGATAATTTTGTGATAATTTTGTTTTATTTTGTTCAAAATTTAAATATCTTATAATTTTTTAAGTTAAGAGTTGAATGGCTTAAGAGTAAGGGGTAAGAGTAGAGAGTAAACTAATGGTAGAGTGTAAATAATTTTCGGTGTTCTTAATAGGATTCCACTTCATTTAAAAATATATTTGCACCTGAAAAATCTGTATGATGATGACCTATAGTTCCATCTTCTTGGCAAAATTAATTAATGTCACTTAGTTAACCAAATCAACGGAGCGGTTTAATAAAAAATAGACTATAAGAAAAAAGACAAAATTTAAGCAGATGTGAAATTTCAATTTTGAAATATGTTAAGGCGTTTAGAAAGGGCTCTACCAGTTATCCCAATTGAATGCGACCAAACTGAATAATAAAGAATATGTCGCTAGAAGGAATGTCACTGACCATATTATTTCTCGGGTCGACAGTAATCGTAGAAGCAATGATTTGCTGATTGGTCATGGATTGAGTTTTCTTAACGCAGTAACCACTTTTTGCTTCAAACATTTCGTCGTCGCAAATACATTTTAGAATGCACACAGTGGTGTACTTAACACCATTAGGATATACCCTTTCCCTTTTTTCTTCTCTGAGTTTTTTGTAAATCCCATTAATCCCACATTTTTGTCCAATTAGTTGACATCTGCTGTCAACCATCGCTTTTCCGAGTTCGTAATTTGGAAAATTTATAGTAACCATCGCCAATTTTGTCTAAATTCTTTCTTCAGTAGCGAAGCGATTAAATAAAACATACTTTATATGTATTTATACTATATTACAATTTATTATTAATTATATAAAGATCAGAGATCATTCAGTCCTTTGGTGAATAAATTGGTGACTTGCTTCATCTTAATATAATTCGGTTATTTATTTGCTCAGTTATTATGATGATTCGTTGTACTGGACAATAGCAGCATTTCGCAATTTTATCTTATCAAATATAATTACCAAATTAAAAAAAAAAGTTATATTAACTTTTCCACCTAGTAGAACATCCATTTGATTAATGCATTTACCATTTTTTTCCATGAGACTAAGATTTACACATGAGCAACGTTGAATGCATTTTGTTTTCCATGATATTCTTTTATCCGCACTGCCATACTGTTTGATGGTTTGAAATACCATGTTGTCTCCACATGGCATACCCGTAAGTCGACATCCTCTATCTTCGAAATTTTGACCAAGTTTGTAAGATTTACTTAACGACACGTTGATATCAAATATTATTGCTTGAATTGTCTTAAAGAATATAACAAATAAAATATATACGCATATATTTGTAATGTTTGTAATATTGTAATTATTATTAATAACATAGAAAAAAGAATTAAAATTAATGAAAAAAAATTGTAAAACCAACGAAAAATATTAAACCACTCGACATAGTTGAATTTATTATAACTGCTTTGGTGATTTTTTTTCTGTTCGTAAAGATTTTTAGATTTTTAATTAGTTTTAGTTGTGTGAAAAAAATTAAAATACAATTAAAAAAATTAAAATTTATTCATATTTTTATAAACCAACAAAATAAACAATTGTATATTGAATTTTTTCTTGCTGTGAATTTATTAAAATCCTCTTATAGGAATTTAAAAATTTATGCAAATATTATTAATAGCAAATTTTAATAGTAAACTTTGATGTGAAATGCATTTATTATTTATTAAATATTCAAAATTTATTGAAATTATTGTTCTAACATTTTTCATCATTACTGGTTAGACTGGCTTCAGCGGCTACAAGACGCTTCCAAAGTGCAGCTATATCAATTGAAATAAAGGCAACCTCAAAATCGATGAAACATTCGACAGGGGCTGTAAATATCTCTCTGGTGTGAATCCAGCTTGATTAAGGTGCAATCCCGCTGTCCCGTACTTCGACAGGTCTGTTGAATAAAAGGAAAGCAAAATTTTCGCTGAGATCTAGTTTTAATATTTGATTCTATATATTTATACTTATTAATTATAACATATGAATAAAGCAAAATTTTCGCTGAGATCTAGTTTTAATATTTGATTCTATATATTTATACTTATTAATTATAACATATGAATAAACCTTTTGTGGTTGGAGAATCAAAAATTGTTCACAATTTTCACAATTCAGTAATCACAGTAATCACACAAAATCACAATTCAGTAATGAGGCCAACCAACTATGAAAAATTTTACCGTTTCTTAATTCTTCTTTGCGATATGTTTTAAGGGTTAGTATTATATAAATTGTAGCTACAAGATTTCTCAAGGATAGAGAAAATATAGAAGACTTTTTTCCAAGCGAATTCATATTATATTTTTTAATAAAAAATAAAAATACATAATAAAAAATAATATAATAAAAAATAATTTAATAAAAAATACATTGATTCTTAAATTTGCCATATCGAATTATAGATTTTTTGGGCAATTTTAATTTTAGTGAACAAAAAAAAAGAATATAAGTATAACATAAATTTTATAAAAACTATTATAAATATAAATAAATTATTCACTTATATTTTTAAAATAAAAATATATTCTTTCTATAATGAAAACGATGCAAATATTTTGAATTTCAGAATAATTTCTCATTTTTTTTGAAAAAAAGAATTTGAACGATATAATTTAAAAAATTTGCAATTTTATTTCCAAATTGACAACACGAATTTATTTTTATTAATATTTAGCCCATTCGTTTTTTTAATTTTTGAATGAAATTATAAAAATTGTTAAAAATTTTATACAAAAAATACAAATCACTATTTCCTTTACTCCTCCGCCATTTTATTTGCTAAAATATACTAATTGCCCGAAATTGTAGAGAATTTTTTGTGAGATTTTTGTAAGTCTCTTAAAAATTTGTCGTATAAATAAATGGTTGTAATATGATATTAATAAATTTTAAATTAATTTAATTTAACTTTTTCTAATACTATGAAAATTATGAAAATTTTATTGTTTTTATGCAATGATAATCACTGTTATGTAATTTATGAATTTCAAACGACCTTCGATCATTAAAAATTAAAGAAAAAAATTTTGTTATCATCGTAATTCTACTAGGCTTTCTTAATATTTCGCTTGTCGATCAACCAATATGACCTATGGAACAAATATTTCTAAACGTGCATTGTCAAATGTCAAATGCATTGTTTTAAAACAATGTTAAAAAAAACAAAAAATTTTCTCTTTCTCTTAAATATTTGTTCCATTACGTTCAAATAATATTGATTAATACTGTAACTGATTAATGATATTAATTGACATTGAAAAAAATGGTAATTTTATTATTTTTATTATTTTATTTTTTATTATAAAAGCTGAATTAGATGCGCAGATATTTCCAAATTATTCCTGAAATGATTTATTTATTGCTGAATTATATGAAAGAAAATTAATATTCCTATTAATATTAATATTAATTAATATTCCAATGTTCCTGTCACTTGATATACCTATCACAAGTGCTGATTTTTATTTCTTATCTACTATCACGACATCTGGTTGATTGGCCTGCATTTGTTTCTTTCTCTACTTTTATAAAGAAATCCCACAGGATACTCCCTCGTTATTCTTACCGATTTCTTGAGGAATCTCTCTCATCTAGGATGGTTCATGCCGTATACTGAATAGATATTCAAACAATGATAATACCATCCTAACCAGTAAGGGTGAGGCTCCTTTACCAGAGAGCATTGAATTCAAGAAGATTTATTGAATTTAGATGATTAACCAAAAAATACGAAAAGAAGAAAAACAGATTATTTTTTCTACATTTTATAGTTAAATTAATAAAAATTTATGGGATAAGAATGAAAAATTATTGCAGTTTTAAGCAGAACTAAACTTGACTTTCAAAATTCTACAACTTTCTGGTGATGTTTCACAAGTATTTCGCTATTAGTTTAAATTAAAGAATTTTAGAAAATTTTAGAATGGGCTTTTTTCTTTTGAAGAATATTGTTATTTATTATTTATTTATTTATTAATCGATAAAATTCAACATTGATTAAAATGCATTGCCAAAAAATCACCTATCTAAAGAAAAGCAAATCTGGTGACAAATAACTAGGAAAGTGAGAAATAGCACTTTTTATTATTGCTCAGACCCGAAATAATGTGGATATTGCGATGTTTTACGCCAGTTTCAGGCATTTGCCATCCATTTCAATATGTTCGTCGATGCAGCTACATAGTTGAATACAATTTCCTACATCATTTTCTATGACAGTAATAAATTTCATATTAATTCCGCATTTGTAGTCGGTAAGGGCACAGCCATAATCGTAAATCGCCATCCCAAATTTGCAATATCCTCCTTCACAGTACCACTAAATAGAATATAAAAATAGAATAAATAGAATCATATAAATAGAATATAAAAATTTTTATTGAAGTGCTTCACTTCAATTTCATTTCTATTATTCTATTTAATTTTTTAAAACAATTTTATTTTTGTACTTTTTCGCATTAAAAGGCTATTTTTTAAAATTCTATTATCCAATTTTACTTCTATTTTTAATATTTTTATTGGGAAAATTTCTCCTTTTCTCAGTATGGAATTAGCCAAAGTAAGAAATAGGATAAGTGAGTGATAATTATGCTATATATAGTAATAATTAATAAGTTAGAGATTAGCTTTTGGCTATAATATCATATCTCCACTGCAATTAAGATAAGATAAGATAAGATTTTCAATCTTATCAGAGACTTATTTTTGGCGAGGAATAGAGATGAGCACTAGAATGATCGCATATTTTCTATAGGGCAATGGTTGAATTATGGTGTTTCACAAATGATTATCTAATCCAAATGTTATAAATAAAAATCCTATTTTGTATTATTATAAGAAAAAGAACATTGACTATTGGAAGGAGTATTAACTATATCGTTTAAAAATCGTTACTTTTCTAACACATTCTTCATATTGTTCATCGTAATTATATTCTTCTTCACAAATACATCGCTGTTTGCATGCAATAGTTAAATTTTGAACATTGCTAAATATCATATTTGGTCCGCATCTTTGACCAGTCAAATGACAATCTTCGTCAAAAATTTCTTCTCCATATATGTGATGATCTTGAGGGCAATACTAAACGATTTTAGCTAAATGGCTAAAGGCTCAATAAATGGCTTAATAGCTTGTTGATAGAATGGATCAGTGGTTTTTCGCTCAATTCTGAACGCCGATACCTGAAGTTCTACTCCACGAGAGTAAACCTATGCAAAAATCAGAGTAATGCGACAATTTAACTGTACTTTTTTCGCCATGAGATTCCCTTAAATATTTGCCTTGTACGATAAGCCTGCGAATCTAATCGTTAATGGCAATAGTTCTTAAAAAAGAAAAAAAGAAATGAGATCTTTTTATTTATAAGATTTAGGAGAAAAGCGATGAAATCCTCAAAATAACAAAGCATTTTATTATTTAAAGATAACCTTATAAGAATTGATGGAATATATTGTGTTCTCTTGAAAAATTTCATCTATTTTTTCGCATTGAAAGAATTTTTCAATAAATTCTTCATTTTTACAACTACAACGTTGATAGCAATATTGCGAGTCAAGCATCATTCCATGAGTAAAAGGAACAAATATCATATTTCTTCCACATTCATGCCCACTTAAACGACAACCTCCATCAAAAAAAATCTCGCCAACTACACATGGTCGTATAACGCACTAAAATCGTTCGGCAAAACGGATTTTGCATGAGAAATTTTACAAAAGCAGGATGTGTTATTGCTAAAGCGCAATCTTTTAAAAAATCTCAACATCCCTAAGAAAAAAATTTTTATTTCTTACTGGATTGCTATACCGATGAAAAATGCTTTGGTGCCCTTTTGGAATGCATTCTCCTTCTTTTTCGTAAAATTCATTAGCACATTCACATATCATTGTACATTTAGTAATTCCCGTATCTCCAAGTTTCTTTTTGTCGACTATTCGAAACGCCATATTCGATCCACATGAATATCCTTCTAATTTACAGCCATAATCAATGATTTCTTGAGAAAGCGAACAATTCCCGTATAAGCAGTTCAGTAAAATTTCCTAAAATTATTATTCTTTCAATTCGAAATATAAAATATATTAAAATATAAAAAGTTTTTCTTTTTTTTTGAAAAATTAGAGAAAAACTAACTTCTTCTTTTTTCTTTTTTAGTTCCTCATGACGATTCTTAAAATTATTGACCAATATAAAATTTCGATTAGTGCAACTTTTACGATTAGATACAAAGCTCTCATTATTGCATAGACAATGTTGTACGCATACATTCATTGACGAATTTAAAAAGAATGATCTGAATTCCATATTGGTTCCACATTTGCGACCACTTAATTTACATCCTCTGTCCACTATACTGTCGCCATGTTCGCAATTTGCATTTATAAAACATGGCTGATGAGTCGTAGGAGTGCTCTTCAAATGAGATAAATGCTTATTTATTAAATTATTTCTTTATATAATTTTTTCTTACTAGGAAAATAGTAGTGTTGTTGTTGATAAGATATCACCTAAATAAAAAATAACGATTTTTCATGAAAAATTTTTTAGTGTTCATTCGATTTACTTATTAATTCCTATAGGTTTATATGGTCATCCTTTTTATATGATTATTACATGACTGTCACTGTCACTTTTAAAAAAATAATTCGATTAATAATCTGTAGCTACCTTTTCAACTGGATTCGCGCTATCAAGCGTACGCTCAATACATTCTTTATTGTGCTCTATGTATTTATCATTTCTACAGGAACAACGCTGCAAGCATTTTTCATGCCATATTAAACCCGATATATTGTGAAATTGAACGATTGGACTGAAAGCCATATTCTTTCCACATTTAACATGCGTTGAGAAGCAACCAAAATCGTCGAATATTTGACCAACCATGAATGATTTTCGTGATATTTTTTCAACAAAATACTTATCTGCTATATTGCCCTTTAATTCATACATTTATTCATATGCGATATATTTAAAAGAATATTTAATGAAAATTTAAAATATTATCATTTTAAAGGTTTGCATTAAAAGTAATTATCATCAAAATTTCCATGTGATTATTGTTTAATAATAAAATGATAAAATGCAAAAAAAGTTACAATTTATAATAAAGTTAAAATCTCAAAAAAAAAATAATTGAAATAATTTAATTTATTAGACAAAATCACCACAACGATTTACCTTTCGACTTAATTTTCTGGAACTTTTTATTGTGAATAATTCATTTTAAAAAATCTGTATTATGCCGTTTATTAAAAGCTAAATGAAAAAAATCCAGGAATTTAAAAAAAATCGCCATTATACAATTTTTAAATAGATTAGATCCATAGATTCGAAACACAGATCAAAAATGGTAAAATAATAAATCAATCCCCAAGGAAAATTTTTATACCTTTTTGTGACATCGCCCGTTGATTTCAGTGTAATCATTAGCTGCACATTTGCATACCTGAATACAAAATTCAGTACTATTATTATTCATGGTGTCGAATATCATATTAGTTCCACAAGGAAGACCGGTGAGCATACAGCCATAATCAAAGACTTGTTTTCCAAGACTGCAATATCCTCCATCACAATACCACTAAAATACACCTTTAGTATGAAGTAGAAAAATAAAATTTTGCAATTAAATTTTTATTATAAAATTCCTGTAATTGGATTGGATTTCAAAAATTGCAATGAAGAAAATCCAAACTTTTTTCTTGCACTCTCCATCTTTCTTGGAATATATAAACGCTTCTTTACATTTGCACCTTTGGATGCATCCAATAATAGGATCCAAATTTTCACTAACAAAAAACTCCTCCACGGGAACGAAAACCATGTTCTTTCCACATTTAAAACCAGTTAAACGGCAACCTAAGTCGGTTATTTCTTCATCCATATTATATCTGAGTCGTGGACAATACTGAAAATCCAAAAACCAAAGGTGCGGAATAAAAGTTGTTGTCATTATTCCGTAATCAACGGACCCTAAATTTTCATCTTATCTATAATAACTGGATTTCTACCATTTTTAATACATTGAAAATAACTGAATTTGAAGTGACAATTGATTTTTTTGGGAATGGAATTTTCAAAAAATCCACTGGTATTTTATCAATTAATTAAATACAAAAAGAAGAAAGAAGCTTTATTTTTCAAATTAATATAAAATTATAAATTACTTGAAGAAATTCGCTCGATTCTATAGAATCATTCAAATGAATTTTTGTTTTTTCACAATGGAAAGTTTTCGCAACAAATTCCTCGCTTTCACACACACATCGTTGAGTACAATATCGCGATATTGATGGATAAGTTATTCCCTGGCTAATCAGCTTGAATATCATGTTTATACCGCATTTGTGCCCAGTTAAACGACAACCTGCATCATGGATTATTTCATCGACTTTGCATGGTTCCAAATTACACTAAAATCGCTCATGAAACTTATTATAATAAAAATTATTATTTTTAAAATATTCAAGTATTGTAAGTTTTTTAACAGTTAGAATTTGTGTTAAAGCTACTCAAATGATCGAGTGCCTTTTTCTTCGAAAGATCGACGCGATGCAAGTGTGAATAGGTTTCAAGTAGCATATTTCGGTGTCATGGAGAAAAATAAAAATAAACATTTCTTTTCATCGCACAAATACGCTGAGTATTCAATAAATGCCCTGATTTTTTACTACAGTAATCCAATCTCAATTGATTTTTATCTTTTTGTCATATTGAAGGGGAGGCCTAGAGAAACATGATTCCTCAGATAAGCAGTGAAGAACATGGCCTAGACCTGCAAACCTGGCTAATATTTGAAGAAAAATAGCTGGTTGGTACCGATAATGAATTTTTAATCAATACTTATAGGGTTGTTAAAGAATTGATATTTACTAATGATTAACTACTGATCGACGTATGCACGCTTTTTGAATATTTTAGTAGTATGATCGCAAAATTAAAATTGAACTTTTCACTAATTGCGACTAAATTGCCATCCCATTTAAAATCGTTTTCATCTTTCCCACAAACCTATAGAAATTTTCAAAAGTTATTAACAATACAGATCCTATTTTCTTATCATTCTCATTATTTTAGTGATAATTATTCCTTTACCAGCACTAAAATGCGACAAATGGTATGACAAATATGATAAATGCAGATAAAAATAACGCTGTTTTCTTCATCTGAAGTTATCAATTGTCGCAAGATTTCTTCTCTCAATTTCTTCTTAACCCAGTGAAACCCAGTGCCTTAAATCTTCACAAGTGAGAGTTGCTGACCTTCTCGATGAGGAAAGACAATCCCATATTGCTTAATTCCATATCGATATCCTTTACGTATTTCCACAGTTGATTGGAGAATCCATTGCGGAATTATAATGCAACAATAATTTTATCAGATTTGATAATCAAAAATATTGCCGACGAAGTGAAAGAAAATGTTCTATATATTAGTGTGGCAACTACATAACCATTTAAGCAGCGTTTAGTAATGAATATTGTGGAATATAAAATAAAGCCATAGGGTAATGCGGTAATAGCCAAAAGAAAAAATTTTGAATCATAAGATACCTTTGTTATACCTATCGATCAGACAGCATTATTCACTACTCCGGAAACAATCTCTTGCAGTCAATCGCTACCACTGTATATTTTCGAAATATTCGACATCCAAAACCATTCGGGAAGTATATTCTGCTAGAATTTTCATAAAGCATTTAGAAGTATTTATTTCCAACTAGCAAATTTCCCAGCATATCCTAACGTAAATTTGATGTGCCTTTAGCAGAAACCACTATTCATCTCGACTGCTCTAAGATGTCGTTGATATTTGCATTATCGAGATGCTTCGATGATTCGGAAATATGTTTGCAATCCTCAAATCTTTTGGCTTGCGGTTTCAAATACTTCAATGAAGATTTCAGGAAAGAAATGTTGTTGTTTGCCAGTTTCATTTGGAAACTGCAATCGAAAAATGTTCTAATCCATCAAAATCGCCAGTTTCATCGTTGTAAGAAGGATTGCTTCATACGAAACCATTTAAGTGACGCTAAGGGTATAATCAACTTTGTTATATAGTTGGTTATTCAGAGAGAATAACGAGAAGCATATTGAAGCATATTGAGATAAAAAAGATATAATCAAAAGTGCACTCTATTACTGCTTCTGAGGCTAAGTTTATTAAATGGTTCCACATTTGAGGCCACTTAATTGACATCCTTTATCAATTATAGTGTCGCCAAGTTGACAACTTCTATTTATAAAACATGGTCGATCAATCATAGTAGTGTTCTTCAAATGAGATTTAAATTTATGGTTAGAATTTTTTTTTTGATATAAATTTTTTTTTTAGAAAGAACCTTCTTTGATAAGATATCACCTAAAAAATAAATGACAATTGAAATTTTAAATGCTTGTTTGATTTAATTGATATAGGTTCGTATAGTCGCCTTTCTTTATATAATAATTATATGCTTATCATTTTTAAAGAAATATTTCGATTAATAAATAATCTACAGTTACCTTCTCAGGTGGATTCTCGATTTCAACCATACGTTTAATACAATTTTTATTTCGCTCTATGTATTTATCATTTTTGCATGAACAACGCTGCAAACACTTTTTATACCATATTAAACCTGATATGTTGTGAAATTGAAAAATTGGTCGGAACACCATATTCTTTCCACATGTAATGCCCGTTGAGAAACAGCCAAAATCATCGAATATCTGACCAACTATGAACGATTTTCGAACTTCGACGAAATATTTGCTTGTTGTATTATCCTTTAATTCATATCTTCATTTATATATTAACTATTACACACATTAAACACAACTATCATCAATAGGCTTAGGGCTTAGGCTTATGTTTAGGCTTAGGCTTAGGCAACCTAGGTCCTTACTTCTTCATGATTATTATTTCTATTATAACTTTCTTTTTACTTATTTTCTAATAAAAAGTAATATAAGCTGATTATGAAAGAAGCGATCATAAAATAATTTGGTTTGCTAGAAAAAAATCACCATGACGAGCTGCCTATCGACTAATTTCATGGAACTGCTCAGTAATTCATTTTGAATAATTCAATTTAAAAAGACCGTATCATCGTGTGGTACCTTACGAAATGGCAAATGAAGAAAATCCAAGAAGTTAGAAAATCAGTGCAGATTCGAAATGCCTTAAATGAAAAATATGCCTAAAATAATTTAAAAAAAAAAATTTACGACCTCTTTGTGACATCGCCCGTTGATTTCAGTGTAATCATTAGCTGCACATTTGCATACCTGAATACAAAATTCAGTACTATTATTATTCATGGTATCGAATATCATATTAGTTCCACAAGGAAGACCGGTGAGCATACAGCCATAATCAAAGACTTGTTTTCCAAGACTGCAATATCCTCCATCACAATACCACTAAAATACACCTTTAGTATGAAGTAGAAAAATAAAATTTTGCAATTAAATTTTTATTATAAAATTCCTGTAATTGGATTGGATTTCAAAAATTGCAATGAAGAAAATCCAAACTTTTTTCTTGCACTCTCCATCTTTCTTGGAATATATAAACGCTTCTTTACATTTGCACCTTTGGATGCATCCAATAATAGGATCCAAATTTTCACTAACAAAAAACTCCTCCACGGGAACGAAAACCATGTTCTTTCCACATTTAAAACCAGTTAAACGGCAACCTAAGTCGGTTATTTCTTCATCCATATTGTATCTGAGTCGTGGACAATACTGAAAATCCAAAAACCAAAGGTGCGATTAAAGTTGTTGTCATCATTCCGTTATAAACATTAAACATTCCGTTATCAACGGACCCTAAATTTTTATCTTATCTAAATAACTGGATTTCTACCATTTTTTTAGAAATTTTAATACATTGAAAATAACTGAATTTGAAGTGACAATCAATTTTTTTGGGAATGGAATTTTCAAAAAATCCAGTGGTATTTTATCAATTAATTAAATACAAAAAGAAGAAAGAAGCTTTATTTTTCAAATTAATATAAAATTATAAATTACTTGAAGAAATTCGCTCGATTCTATAGAATCATTCAAATGAATTTTTGTTTTTTCACAATGGAAAGTTTTCGCAACAAATTCCTCGCTTTCACACACACATCGTTGAGTACAATATCGCGATATTGATGGATAAGTTATTCCCTGGCTAATCAGCTTGAATATCATGTTTATACCGCATTTGTGCCCAGTTAAACGACAACCTGCATCATGGATTATTTCATCGACTTTGCATGGTTCCAAATTACACTAAAATCGCTCATGAAACTTATTATAATAAAAGTTATTTTTAAAATATTGAGATATTTGAACTGTTCAGTGTTGTAACTATTAAAATTTCTATTAAATTCTATTCTACTTTTCAATTATTTTTTTGATAGGCACAACCAATGAGCAGTCCAGATGAGCGGTTATTTTCATGGTTCCTTTTCTTCGCATGTTCAGCTCGCTAAAATGTGAAGAAATTTCAAATAGAATTTTCGTTAGCCAGCCAATTCGCTTTACACTGTTTTATTTCCATTCTCTAAATATTTTACTGAGCCATTCAGGAACCCTTCTGATTTCTCACTATATCTCATTTGGTTTACCTCGTTTTCTTATATTGAAAAAATTGGCTTAACAAATAGAGAAATTTGGCTCTTCTGATAACTGGCGAAGAAGAACTTGGATTAACATGCAAAACATGGCCGTATTCGAAGATAGATGGCTGATTATGCTGATAATAAGCTTCAATATTTGTTAAATTCCATTATTTAAATTTTAATCTTCACTATTTCACTGTTTACTTTTTTTCGCTGGTTTGACCATTGATCATTATTGGCTTTGACCATTATTTTAACTTTAAGTTTTAGCCTTAAAGACAAAATGGCTCATCAAAGAAATTCGAAGTTATAGGGTCCTTAGAGGGCTCATTTGCTACTGGTTAATGGTTTTATTTCGACACCTTATTACTGTTGGATATCATGAAATAAACAATGAATTTTTTCGAACTGCGATTGAATTGCCATCTAAATTATTATATAATATCACTATATTACTAATTATTATTAATTCTTATTCTGATATATTTTTTCTCGAAGCTTCTAAAGATTTTGAATACTCTTAACAATTTTCCTTCAAATTAGATAAGTCAGAGGGAACCCAATAATATATTTCGAATAATTACCCTTTTTCGAATGCTTTATTCCAAAACCATGCAGTCATTTATTAGCTCACCTGATTATATATCTCATTACCCTCTGAATTAGGCATATCATACACATTGGATAATTTCACGTTATAATGCAGTAGCAGAGTATTCATCACTTGAGAATAGAAGTTGTCGAGTTTATTCCACCACTCACATGAGTTTTTTGAATTTTATGATGAATTTACGCTTATCAAAAAATTAAAGGCAAAACATGAGAAAACATGGTAAGGAAAGAATTCGTTACCTTATTTTACTTACCGGATTATCCATGTATGCAGATAGGATATCATTTTTTTTAATACATTGGTCATTTTCTTCGTAGTAATTAATATCGCATACACACTGCGTAATACACTGAGAAGTGTTTTGAAAATTTATTTCATGAACCGGATTAAATATCATATTCGTTCCACATGGGAGCCCTTCTAACGAGCAATCATACTGAAGAGTATTGAAGAATTTTTAAAATAACGACAATTTCCACGTAGATAGATAGCTATGCAAGCTTTCATGCTACAGAAAAATCTTTGAATCTAAGATAAATCGATGAATACTATATGAAACCTATAAATCTGTAAGAAATTTACGTGATATTTTCATTCTATTTTTTAATGATAGATTTCATAATAACGACGGGAAGTATTAAACGCTAAGGTTAGCGCTAGGCTAGCTATCAATTTTATTTCACTTATCATATGCCAGTTTGCCACTAAGGCCTCTTGTAGAAGCGATTATGACCTTATCACTCTTTGAAGTACCTGTTAAAAATGAGTATTTGTAAATTTGTAAATTTCTCTGAAGTTGCTACCGAAATTTATGAAAATATGTCTACTGTAATATTTTGAAAAAATACTGTTGAAGAAGTTATATTCTTCGCAGTCGCATCATTTTTCTGCTCAATGCATTGGCCATCAATCTCCTCATAACTATCAGTGGTGCATGAACAACGTTGAATGCAGTTCCAATACGAAGAGGAATTTTTGGTAGTGTCGAATAAATATGGGACAAATATCATATTCTTTCCGCATGTAGTATTGGTTAATTGACAGTCGATATCCTTTAATATTTGTCCCACTATAAAAGTTGTCCTCTGTTGTTCTTGATCAGCGCTGGCCAAGTGTTGAGCAACGATCTAAAATTTGGTTCCACTCTTTTGAAATTATTAGTAAAAGTACTATTGGGTAGTCAACTAATAATGAATTATATCAACCGATTTGAATAAATGAATTGCATTTAGCTATTTTTACATTTCATCATATGCGTCACTATGTTTTGAAATAAATGAAATTTCTGGGGAAATAGCGGTTGTATTTTTCTGACATCTATAAAATTTACAAATGCAATGTTAGCATAATAATTTTAACTTGTCATTAAATTTAAATTTGATAATTTTAATTATCAGTATCACTGGTTAGATTAAATCCGCTGGATGAGGATATCTCTAATCTATTCAGTACGACGATATCGTTAACAGCAGTAGAAACCATTCCTTTTTCGACCTTCTAAGTCCATATATCGTTACGCTCAAAAATTTTCTTGATTCGACCTGTATCAACCTATGTCTTGAGTGGCCATCTCGCTTTCGACGACACCCATCACAAAAACTAGTGAAATATGTTAAGTCTTGCGATAGAAGACGAAGAACGTGAATAAACGAAGGATAAATATTTTAGATATAAACGAAGTATAAATAAACGAAGTATAAATATTTTAGATATTTTAATATTTTAAATATTGTTTTCTCGCAACTGTTAGGCTTCATAAAGGTACCGTCAATCGGAAGAATCGGAAAAATCGGAAGGAAAAAAAATACCGTTTTATTTCTGTCATACCATTATCTGATTTACAATTTCGTTTTTTGGATATTTAATATTGGAGTGGATCCAAGGTATTGAAAATCGGGTTCTTCCTCAACCGGTAATGATTTATAAAATATATACCAATTTCTTATATATAAGACGAAAAGATCTTCGCTTCATTCCGAATTTGGTTCTCGTTATAGTTGTTAGCATGTTATTTAGGCATTGTTTTCTCACAACTGTTAGGATTGAAACTAAAATTAAAAGGGACCAAAAATGACTAAATCATCAGCCTATTCAAGATCTCTAATACAGATTCTCTGGATTGATCTGTAGACCTCTTGGGTACCAACAAGCGATTTCCACTATCCGATGTATTGTATAGTTTAACATTGTAGCGTAGGCAATGTCTTAACGGATACCAGTTTTTTTTAAAATTTCTATGCTCCATTATGGAGGATAACGGCTAAAATTTGATTTGATAATGGCTAACAACATATATGGCTAATAATAATTCAACAAGACTAGATTTTTTAACTTTTAGTTATGAAAAGTTGAGATTATTTCTTCTTCTATTGGTGATTCACAGTTTTGTAGAATCAACGAGAGAATCAGCCGCGTTGGAGACAACACATGGCGCACCGTGATTAATCTTGGCCTCCAAAAAATTCTTTCCATCCATCTTACTGGGCTGATTTCGCCAAGATGCTGTTATTGCTGTTTCCTCGATATTCTGTCATTCGTGCATTAGCTACTTTTAAGGGCAATGTTACATGGTTATTCCCAATACAAATTAGCGCACTTCGGATTATATGCTTGAAAATAGGTGACTTTCGGAGACAAGTGTTTAGCTAAGACTAGTTCGTGGTCCCAGAGATGTCATTGATATTCATTTCACTGAAGTTTTCTAAGAGTTCGATTTAAATAACCTTAGGCAAAGTTGGAGCATATACACTGATGATCGGAATATTGCAGACATGTGTTTAAACGGGCAAAGCCAAACAATCATTGGTCAGTTTCCACTCTATTAATCGGAATTGCCTTTTTAGATATAACAATCGCTAAGCCATTTTTCGCTGCGATTTGCGATTTTTATGAAACACTACTGCGATATAGCCAGTATCTCTGCACAGAGCTAGATTTGGTAATTGGGACCTGAAGTGAGGAAAACATCTGACACAAAGACGACAATATTTAGAAAGAGTGTGGGCAATGATCGTCTATAAGTCTTCACACGGCTTTCATGGCGTTCCACATGGCTACAGCTAATACCTCGTTGCACTCTACCTTCACAGGTTCCAAGCAGTTATTCTGGATCATAAGTAGATCCTGTTCCTTAGCCTTGAGATCACTCCACGTTCGGATCGTATACCTATCGCATAAGCTACCGGACTAAGAATGCGCATGAAGAATGCGGGCACCATGTCAAGAAAATTACACTCTTTTACCATAGACTCACTCGCTTATATAATTGCAGGTGAGTCCCTAACAACCAAATTTTTGATAAGACAAGGCTCGAAAACAAAGCTAAAATAAAAAAATTGAACTTATGGAAAAATTTTATGTACATAATTTAGTTTATTTAGTTTATTTATTTAATTTAGTTTATTTAATTTCTTAGTAATTTTGTTTTTTTATTGTCAATTTCCTGCTTTAAAATTTGAAAGCTTAATTGTATACAGTTTTCTATGGCTCCGGAAATAGCGTAAGAAAATAGAACGGAACAGAAATGTCCACAAGAAAATAAAATTTATTAAAAGAATTTAATTAATTTCTTAACTATAAAATAATTAAAACTATCTTTTCAACATTTTAAAAGTGTTATAAAATTTATAAAATACAATTTATAAAATTTTTTTTCCGATTTATAAAATTTTTATGAAAACAGAATAGTTGAATATCTTATATATATCTTATATAATATAATATCTTATATTAATTTATATTTTTGTTTGCATGAAATACCATTTATCAAAGTTAATCTTTTTAAAATTTTATTAGGGATTAGATGAATAAAATTTATTTAAAAAAAATTTTAAAAATGTAACGAAAAGACAAACCAAAATAATCGTATAGGCCAGCATAATTGAGATTGATAACAAATGATATCGAATTCAAATTCATTATGCATTCATGAATTGATAATTGATAACTTCGTATTAAATAATAAATATGTTATGATCTAAAGATATTATATGAATTTTAATTTTTTTCATTCTGTTTTCATGAAAATTTTATAAATCATGTTTTATAGCTTTAAAACTGTGCTTTATGCCATTTACTTACTTAATATTTCCAAAGTATATCAATTATATTAATTTATTGAAAAGCAACCAAGGAGGGCGACAACAACATGTGCTTGTATTAATAAGTAAGTAAATATTAATAACAAATATTTGTAAAATGTTGTATTAATAACAAATATAGTAAAAATTAATAAAAGTAAGTAAGTAAGTAAATGGCATAAAGCACAGTTTTAAAGCTATAAAATATGATTTATAAAATTTTCATGAAAACAGAATGAAAAAATTTAAAATTCATATAATATCTTTAGATCATAACATATTTATTATTTAATACGAAAATAAGAAAAAAAGAAAATATGACAAAAATTAATAATTTAAAGAGGAAATAAAGAGGAAATAGTATAATATAGAAATTGCAAAATAGTATAATATAGTACAATTCAAAGTAACTGTATTATACATAATCAGATGGTAAAAATCGAGATTTCATACTTCCTGCATATTGTGAACTTTTTAAATGATATCTGAATGATTAAATGATATTATCTATTCTTTTTTTAAAGATAGCTGAAGATGACGCACTGTATCAACTGTATCGTTCGGTGGTTTATTCCAGCAATTAATAATACGAATAAAAAAATCATGAGTCTTTAGTTTAGTTGTAGTTTTTTTAGTTTTTTTAGCTTAGTTTTTTAGGTTTTAGTAATTTCAACTCATTAGTTCTTGTTGGAAATTTAGCTTAAAATTATAATATGTTGAACAATCTAGTTTAATGTAACCATACAGAATCTTATAAGTATAAATAAATATTAAATCTTATCTTTGATTTCTTTACCATGGTTCTGCAGTAAGGGTCGAAATAGTAAGAGATATTTTCATCATGATTATTCCAAGATCGGAAATGTGAGAAATCTTATAAATATTAATGAGAAAAGTGTGGGTTTGGTTTTTGAAAGTCTTAAACAACTAATTTATGATTTTAGGCGATTTTTTGCAACGATATATTTACTTTAATATTCTCAGTGGAAATAGAAGAGACATTTGGTGATTTCAACCTAATATGCCTTTTATATTTTTTAAAAATAGATACTGAAAATTAGTTTGATTTGTTTATCGCGAAAGTAATGAACCATATAATGGCCAGATGATGAAACAAACAATGATGATGAAACAAAATTTTTCTGGAATTAAAAAATTTTAAATTATATAAGTCAGGTCAGGGCGAAAATCACAGAACTATGCAAATAATTCATTAAAATTTTGGATTTAACGATTTTTATTTGGATTTTCTTCTTGTAAAATAAATTGATAATAAAAATTTATTAATATTTTTGATACCAATATCTGACCCTTTCACCAAAAATATCTGCCAATTAAAACCTGGATTGATATATTGAGAAAAGATTTTAAACGTATAGATGGACCAGCAATATATGGACCTAGACGATGGAAGAAGGAATGGCTTCTATTAATGTCGATGACGATAACATCATACCGCATCACATGGAAGTGCCTCACTCCTGTAGCCCTTGGAGCCAGCCTAACCAGTAATGATGGGAGCTGGTATAGAAGAAAAAGAAAAATATTTTTGATGCATTGTTCTTCTGGTTCAATGTAATCATTAGCTATAAATAGATGAAAACATTTCGCAGATTTGACTGGAAACAATTGAAATGATCAATGCGAAACGAATTTCAAATGGGTTTCTCATTTAAAAAAGAAAAAAAAAATCTCATT